GGGGGGACGCTTTAATCGGCGGTGACTGAGGCTTGAGTTCGCCTTGCCCGTTGTGCAGTTAGGAGCCGAAAACGCGGACAGCATCGGTGCCGTGCTGAACAGCAAAGATGACCAGCGGGAGATCGCGGAGACGAGAGAAACGTGTAGGTCAGTATCGGTGTGCAGTTTCTGTTAGAAATCAAGGGGATGCAGGCCTTTGAAATAGGATGAGATTGCGGTCCAAAGAGCCAAACAAAATCTTGCCGTTTATTTAAAAACATACAATTCGGTGAATGGAAATGCTTTGGTTACTCAAATCTGAACTCTGAATAAAGTGAGTAGGGCTTAGTCATTCACTTTTAACAAGCCGTTTGGAAACCAAGGCTAACTTTTTGCTTCCTGTGTTAAAAAGCTCCTGCGGAGCAGAACCGAGGTGTGAATTCAGAGTGTGGCACCTGCATTGTCCTAGAGCCTTTATACTTTTACCAAGAGCAGTCACGAGGCAGTTTAGTTTAAAAGTTCTTACGGAACAATAGACATGTCTAGGATAGAGTAGCTATTGCTTATTAATTCTCACGTGCAACAGTAATTTTCTTGTGTGAGCAGGCTTAATTTTGTATATGCGCTGCTTTTGTTAAAATAAGCTGTACCTTTCAGAACAGAAAAAAATGAGAAAGCGAGATACCTGTTTTCAGGAGTCCTGTCCTTAAGAAGTTTTGCTGGTGTCAAATACACTGAGAGAGGAATAACTTCTCATGTATAAAGTTTCAAAATAATTTCAAGCTTGTAACAGAAACATGTAGCCAAGGCAGATGATCAGAGATTTCTGAAATGCTCTCTCTGGAGAGAGAAACTTTTATATCAGGATTTTTTTTTGGTTGTTTATAGGGCTGCTTATGATACTTCTGCACCAAATGCAAAACGCAAATACCCAGATGAGGGAGAAGCTGATGAAGAAGAGATTGAAGAATATAAGGTGAGAAAAAAAGGAAAAACTTACTTTTCTCTGGTGTTCATGTGTCTCTGAGGGACTTACAAAATATGTGTGTGTGGTACAAATAACAATAAATGCGATGTGTATAAATACTTTAAAATATACGTCCCTCAGTGGCATCTCCTTTGATGTCTTCCACTGCAGAGATCTAAGAGGGCATAGATGTGAAGTGGTTCTCTCCAGATATGGCTTAGGTGCATTGAAGTGTACGTGCACCAGAACCCAATGTTTGGAGGCTTAATTTAGTGCTGCTCCTAGGAGGAGGTAGGCTTGGGTGATAGTGCCCACAGGGAGTGGCAGTGTGCCATGGCTGGCTGTCTTGTGTGGGAAGAAGTGGTAAAATATGTGTATGCTTGGGTACAAGCAAAAAAAAAAAATTTGACTGGAATTTCTTTGTCAGAAGAAAAGCTTGCGTTTAGCAAGAAGCACAGGCCATTGGATGAGAATAAAGGGAGGCTGAGGGTATCTTCTAACCTGCCTGTTAAGTGCAAAAGGATGCAGTTCTGGGTGAATGGAAGAAATAAGGGATTCTAAGGGAATGGAAGTAAGAAGCTTGGTTTGGGGTATGCTTTAGATATCGAAAATATCCAGGAAAAGTTCAGTTTATAACAAAACGCTTCTGTGGTCACTGAAGAATGAGTGGTTGTCATACTCTCCTGCCCTTCATTTTTCAAATGTTCATCCAAGAGCTATTTGACAGCTTTCTTGTTTCACATCCAATGTGATGTTTTGGCTAAGATGAGGGGTAGAGAAAGGAGGTTAAACAAAGGCATGGTTATGATACAGCTGTCTTTCTGATTTGTGTCTGTGATCTTGTTGCAGCATATACACTCCCTCTCCCTTTTTAACTTGTCCTAATAACCTTGCTTCTGTGGTTAAGTAAAATCACGGTCAGCGCATTTATAAAATAACGCGGTGTCTGCTGTTCTCTTGGATGCCTAAGAATAGTAATTTTTTAAATATGAGGCCTTGGTACTGTTACATTTGTGTTCAGGTTTATAAATCTTTCTGTAATAATGTCTATCTTCTATCTTACTAAAACAAAAAGTTAATGTATGACAGGACGTTTTTTGATGACTGACTCTTAAAGTCTATCTGTAAACAGACATTCTTTTTAACAGGCTAGGCGTTAGTCTGTACGTCTTGTTTAGCAAACCAATTAAGTCACCATCTCGGAGAAGGGATTTAGAGAGTACATGCACTATTTGTGGAGTGGGGTTTTTATGCTCACATTAGTGATCAGTTCATATCAGTTTATTTTGCTCCTTAACCAAGTATGTGGTTAAACAACTAACTTTTTTTTCTGTGAAACATATGTGGATAAGTCACTTCAGTTGGCAAAGCACATGACTCTTATCACTAACATTTTCTTCATTAGCTTGGAGAAGACTTACCCTGAGGTGGGCTGTAACCACTTGCAAGTGGTCAGACTCTTGCGATATTGTTGAAATTGAAGAATATTTTAATAACACTAGCTTGGGCCAGCTTCAGTCGAGCAGATGAGTAGATTTAAGTAACTTGAAACCCCCAAGTAGAACATCTATAGTGGAGTCATCAGCTGTTTTCTGCAGACATTTCTAATTCCCTATTGGCAAGGAGTTAAGAACTTAGTAAAATCCCATCTGTATTTATGTAACTTTTTCCTTAGTACTTTGAGCTAGTTTAAATTTAGTCTTGTAATACGAACTGATACAGAAATCTAGATCCTTATGGTATCAAGCCCTATTTAGATTGTGTTCAATACTCCTTAAAAGTAGTAAGAGACTTAGCTATTAGTGTTGCAGACAAATATTGCACGTTTGTCAGCTTTGTTAGGAAAATTAGAGGCGAGTATTTCCGATGTAAAGTGACTCGTATGTCTCTAAAACCCTGACTTGCGGTGTTGGGTTCTACATGATGATATTAGTTAATCCTCTGAAGTGGTTTGAAATTTTTGTGCCCTGACTTCAGATTTGGTAGAAATGAATGTGTCCTCAAACCTCAACTGCTCTAGCTGGACCCTGAGCATCTAGCTGTAATTGCTGGTGAAGATGGGTTACTGTGAAGATACAACATTGTTGTTACCACAATGCAGTGTGATGGCGCAAGGTCTGCAGGGGTAGAGTGTGTGGATGTGGGCATGAAACCTTTAAACAAATGTAGTTGGGTGTTTTAGAGGATTTCTGTCAGGTTCTAGTCTTCCAAATGGAAAGTGAAGTGAGCTGATGGCTCCTAAATGCCTTGTGCTGATGTTTTGAGGGAAGGCTGAACAGCAACATTGACTTTTTTGTTATATGGGGGAAGTGTGAGAGCAGTTTTTGAGATGGAAGGTGAAGTATGTTAATCTTCTCAGCTATTTAGGAACATCTGATGCAAAAAAAGACAATGTTTTTTATTTTTTGTTTTTATGGGTTTGGTTTGGGGTTTTTTTGTAGAATAAGTGTACGTTCATAGTGATGGTTCTTAGTAAACATCAGGCTGATAGGAAAATAAAGGGCAGCAAGGCTGCTTGTTAAGCTTCCCACTGGCAGCTTGACTTCTGTTTTGGAGCCTGACTCTGCATTGCAAACCATAGAGGTGGGAGATAGGGGAAGAGATGCATTATTGGCATAAATGAATAATGGGTATTTTGAGGTCAGAAAGTTGAAATGTGGTTCTAAAGAACTTCTACAGTACTCTCATTTTTGTGGAACTGTAACAGTTGTACTAGGGTTAGTTGGGGTCTCTGGTCTGTATTTGGAAGTGACCGGTAAAGGGACTAGGCTATCTGCTGCCACTCCCAGGCTTTTCATAGCCTTCTGAGAGTTGTGATTGTTGCTCCACCTCTCCCCTTCCCCAGGTGAATTTAGTCAATTGTTTGAACCTGTGTAAATGTCTGGTATCAACCGTGTTTTGAGGCAAAGAGTTCCGGAGTTTTAACTTTGTATGAAGTACAAAAATACCTGCGGTTCAAATTCACTGTCTGCCAGCCTAATTCGATAGAGCCCTGTTTTACTTTGTTGCTGCAAGCGGTGGCCTGCGAGCTTGTAATGCTTCCATGCAGTTGTTCTGGAGGCTGGAAAAACCTTACTTGGTTGAATCATGATAATTGCTTGATGTATCTCTAGTTATTTGAAAAAACTATATGCTTGAATATTGTGGGTAGTTTTTGTTTCCCTAACTCAGCACCAATATACCAGGTTTGGAAAACAAGGATGATTAATGTGCAAGAACCTAGTATTTTGTATTAATTTCATTCTGTCTCTACTCTGACTGTGTCCTTTTCCCTTTGAAAGTTGTTGGTGTGGGCTTTTTGTTTGTGGCCACAAGACTTTTTTTTTTTTTTTTTTTTAAATCACTTACGAAGGCATAAAGAGAACTGGGATGACTCAGAAGTAGGTATCTAACAGGTGCTTATCATCAGATGATTTAGAGGATGATGGAAGAGGGGAAACAGGTGTGTAAGCTTATGATGGCATAAGCAGTTTTTAGTAAAGCTCAAGCTTTCAGCTTTTTTTGCCTGATTAACACTTGCTGCTGCTTGTCTGCTGTTCATTCCTTTTCCTTGTAAACACTGTTGCTGTTTCTGATAGTAATCTTTTTTTGGTCTGGTTAAACAAACAAACAAAAGACTATATCTCAGTAAGTTCTTCACCTGAATAATGGGGAGGGGGAATCTGTGACCTGTTAATCACAGTAGGCATTTCAGAAGTTGGTTCAAAGCCCTGATTTGGGAAGAGCTTATTTTAAGATTTCAACAGCTAGAGGGATCAAAATAGGGAGAACACTTAATTTTTCATTCTGCATTCAGACAGCTTGTGTAGCATAGGGTAAATGCAGCAGTAATAATAGCCTCTTCTCTGCATCTTTTGACTTAATATGTATGTTGGGGGGGAGAAGTTGAGTTCTTTTCTGTGAGAAATCTTGTTCTCCATCTCTCCTTTTATTTTGGTGTGTTAAAATGTCTTTTTTTTTTTCTTAAATATTTTGGCCTTGAGACTGCTTTTCTCCTCGCATGAAGCACTATATTAACTGATTAAGATTTCTGTTGTAATCAGTAATGTATAAAAGAGCATATGCATCCTACTAACATATGGTAGATGATATTTAGTAGTTCTTCAGTTTTACTTATATATACTGGGTTGTTTCAGGATCAGTGGGAAAACAGAAAGTGACATGAAGAAACGAGTCTCTTTTTTGTTCCTGTTCTAAGTCAGATGTTCAGAGTATGTCAGTGTGACAGATCTCTGAATTCCAGAAATCTGATGAGTGAACAGTTGGTGACACACTAACTGGGGGAAAAAATTGCAATACAATTCCTGTTTTCTGTAAATTTTGAGACTACAAAATGGGAATTTAAAAGTTACTTTTAAGGACAGTCCAAATGAAATACTGGCTTGTACCATGTGCTGTTTCTGCAAAGTGTGGACTTTAACAGATTTATATAGAGAACATGGTTTCCTGCAAAGGTTGGAACATAAGAGATGATTGAATGGATATAAATGTTCAAAGGTTCTACTACAGAAGAACTTCAACAAAATAAATCATTTGCTTTAGTCCAAGGAGTGAAATTTTGGGGGGGACAAAAATTAAAAGTTCTACACCTTGTAAAGCACTGTCTACACTGTCAGGGTCTAGAAATGAAGGATTTCTTACTTTATGTTTCTTTCAGAGGCCTTTCCCAGTAACAGTCTCCTCATTAATGAGAGACAGACCTTTTTGGGAATAGGTAATTTTTTTTTTTTTCCCCTTCAAAGCTGGAGTTGGAACCATTCATGATCTGCTGTTTTAGGAGACTTCTGTTTGTAGACAGCCCACTTCTTTCCTTAAGAAGCAGAATCATAATGAGGAGAGAAATGGTGTGGTCTTGCATACTTATAATATCTGCTTTATTTCCAAGGATGAAGTAGAGCTGCAGCAAGATGAAGAGAACCTGCCCTATGAAGAAGAGATTTACAAAGATTCCAGTACCTTTCTTAAGGTGAGCTGCTTTTGCAATTAGAAGTCTAGTCAAAGCTGGCATAGTTGTGTTAACTTTTCTTCTGCAGTTGATGGCATTTGAAATACAGCTTTAAAGGCTGAAGTAATTGACTGGAATTCACAAGTGCAGAAGTTTCCTGTGAAAGATATGACTAAAGATGTGTCTCAACTTAGAATGAGCCGTAGTAATGGTGGGCCTGATTTGGAGCTAAAACCGCAATGACAGTCTTGACTAGCGTAGCTTATAAAGGCATGTTGAAAAGAAAAAAAAAAAATTCTGTTACTTTCTCATTTATCAGACTAACACTTGTAGAGTGTGTGTGTGTGTATGTCCAGTTATCTCCCTGTTGGTCTCACTGAACTCCCTTTTATTCTCCAGGGTACTCAGAGCTTAAATCCACACAACGATTACTGCCAACACTTTGTGGATACAGGACACAGACCACAGAACTTCATCAGAGATGTTGGTATGGCATAGTCAGTAACTGTTTGAAGATAACTCATTTTATTTGATAGCGCTTTTTCTTTCCCTTTTTAATTCCTTACAGTTACTAGGAAATGTAGATACACATATACTTCATAGTTTTGTCTCTCTCTGTTCATATCAATAAACAAATTTATATGAATTATTTTATTTTTAATCAGTTAGGAGGTGATTATTACCCAGGCTTTTCTTACTTTGGGTTATATTTGAAAGTATTTAATGAGGAGGATTTTTTTCAAAATTAAGCTCTTTTTGTTCCAGCAAGTAGATGAGTCTAGCGAACAGATCTTGAAACCTTTGGAAGTTTGAATAACTGACTTACAGTTCAGCTGTTTCCTGGACTGGATTGCCTCCAAGAATGCATGTAGCATGTAAAGTATGGAAAATACTTATATTTAAGTCAATAAGCAATATGGATAGTATTTACCAGCTAAATTATGTAACTGCTGACAACTCATTAGAAGGCCCAACTTATTATTGAGTTTAGAGAATGTTATTTTTTAAGTTTACATTCATCCAGCCATCGCTGACCTCGTTATTGAAATCTTGCTTTATTAGACCTGAATTTAATCTAAAACTAAGGTACGGTTTGGTCCCGTTTCCCAGAATGGGTGCCTGCAGTTTTCTGCAACAGTTCTCTGTATTCTATCAAGTTTAAGATTGTCAGGGCAAGTGTGGTGTGTCTATAGATGTCAGTCCAAAGAGGTTCTGTTTGCCTGTTGAGGCAGTTAGTTTGTTCTCTGTGTTTTTCGAATGCTTCTATGAAACGTACCTGGATGCTTAGTATGAAAAACGCGCTGTTTTGACTCAGATGCGTCTTTATCCAAAAAGCATTTGGGCTTCACAGTTATGTACTTGAGGTAGTTATACACTGTTATTTGAAATGAGTCTGAAGAAATAGCAGCCTGTATTATTTACTCTGACTTCTCTGCTGCATAAAGAATTGTGAGGGGACAGGACAAATTGTTATATGAGCAGTTAGTCTAGACCCTTTATTACACATGAGGTGTGTCAAGTTGCGTATTGGTTAGCATACATTTTCTACATGATGATCAAAACTCTGCTTAGGTGCTACTGTGTAACTGGACAAAAAGCTGTGGGGAAGTAGTGGTTCCAGAACACCCAGTTCGAGCTTTTTGATGTTGCTGTTGGAAGAGAGGGAGAGACCTGTGGGTTTTGTTTCATTTTGTTTGTTGGTTGTGGGGGTTTTGTGGTTTGTGGTTGGTTTTTTTTGTTTGTTTTGTTTTTTTATAAGTGAAGTCATCTTGATTGAAAATTCATTTACACCTATTGCTTAGCTGCTGATAACTGGCTTTCATTTCTGCTGGTCAGGAGTATTTGACTTGCACCAGCTGGAAGCAACATGGCAGTGGAAATCAGAACAACACAGTGGTGTTTGAGATGTAATGTATTTAAGGAAAAGAATGAAAACAACTTTGGGGTATTTTATGCACATGTAATAAGAGATAATAAGGTTGGATACTAAGAACTTCGCTTTTACCAGTGTGATGCTAGGGTTGGGAGTTCAGAAGTTTGAACTAAAATAAGGAGAGGGATGAAGGGTTGTGGGGTTTGTGGGTTTGGGTGGGTTTTTTTGTCCCTCTGGATTAGGACCATTTGAAGTTGTAAATTTAAATTTACATGAAGCTTTGTAAGTAACTCCTACTAAAGTTGAACTGATACCACTTGGGAGGCTGGAGTGGTACATTTTTGGTTTGTGCTGAGCCTGCTGCTAGCAATAACAAAAACATACTATCTCTACTTATTTTTTGAAGGGGGAATGTAATGTACTGAAAAGTTTGCTTGGTTTTTTCTTTTTTTTTTTTTTTTAAAAGTTTGCTGCAGAAAACCTAATTAGGGTTCTCCCTCTTGCATCCTGTACATATGAAAGGTTTGAAAATTAACATCATAAAGCTAAGTCTAGGAACCCAATAAGTAAATATACATATATCCAAATCTTCATGACTGACACCAGAGTACCAAATCTCAATATAAGGGTTGCCTAAGGGTACCAGCTGCACCCCAGTTGCTGCCTTAGAAGTAGTCTTCAAAAGTTAAATAAGAGTGTTCTGTAAATTAATGTTAATTAGATCTTAATAAAATTTATGGGTGGGGGGATAACAAAATAACTTTCTCCTATCATTCTGGCACTTTTAGTTTAAATGAAAGATTGTTTCCTTCCTTCTGATAAAAGGAGTTGTGAACTCATGATCACTGTAGTGCTCTAGAGAAGATTAGAGCATAGAGACTACATTCAGTAACAGCCATAATTAACTGGGTGAAGGCAGGAGGCTTTTGTGAAGAACTGAACAAAAAACTGCTTTGAAGGGTTTGGTTTGTTCTAACAAAAATTAAAATGAGGCTAAGTATTAACATTTGGACCTATTTAGAATGCTGGACAATGCTTAATTCATACAGATTTACTCTCTAAGTAGTTGTTAACTTCATCTTTTCTTCTTCTTAGGCTTAGCAGATAGGTTTGAAGAATATCCAAAACTTAGAGAGCTCATCAGGTTGAAGGATGAGCTGATATCTAAATCTAACACTCCTCCCATGTAAGTGTTCTTGTGGAAAATGCCTTTCTTCTCCAGACCTGTTTGAAATTAGCTTTCTGCTTTGCAAATCTCTTATCTTTAGCACCTGCTCAGAATTTACATTTTCTATTTCTGTTTGTATATACAAATTAATCAATTGAAACTTCAGAATAATAAAATCAGTTTGGTTTTGTTAGTTTAGACTAGTTGTTCAATATCATATATAAACTAGATTTTCTTTCTAGTATGTGATTATTTATAGTATCTAATGCTTTGGTTTTTAAGACCAAACTGTCAACTGATTGAGCTGCAGGCTTTAAGTTGGGAACTAAAAGAACATTGTATGATTGTGAATCTAATGATATCATGCAGTTTACAGTAACAAGAAAAGCTTTAAAAATTTGGCCTCTTAATATAACTTTAGTTGGTTTTGTAACAGCTTTTTTTTTTGTAAAATGTTCAGCTGTTATCTTAGTGTCCATTAATCAGATGTTACTTTGTAGTTTAAGACCAAAAAATGTTTAGGCTGGCTGGAAGTGATTTGTCCTATCAACTTCAAGTTACCTCTGAGTTTTTGCTGAATGTTAGACACAGTATAAGCATGCAGCATGTTACTGCCAGGAATTTGAACCTATCTGAATGTGAGCCTAATGCTTTTAATATACTCTAGTCCTAATCTGTACTGAGTAAAATAGTGTTATTTCATGATAGTCACATGACAAACTCTGAAATAGTTGTCTGAACAATTGAGATACAAAGTGCAAAACTCAACTTGCTATTTTGAAGTTAGATGTGTTTTGGCATTCTTAGCCTTAAAGCACAAAAGGAGGAAAAATAGTAATCAAATGCTGCCTTCTGATAACACCAAATACACTTATGGAACAATAATCTCTTCCAGACACTTTCTTAGGAAGGGGGATGTGGTGGTCTGCTAATCAGCTATTTTAAGGTTAAAGGTATTGAGAGGAGGGCAGTGTAATTTTTTTGAGAGGGATATAGCAGTGAGTGGTGGGCGGGTGCAGAGGCCAGTCGTAAAAGTGCATTTGAGCGTGTATTTAATAAAATCAATGTGTGTGGGAATTACGCTTTTGTTATAGGGATAGAGAAATACATTTCTACTCTATGAAAAGTAACTACATTTCTAGTATTCAGAATCTTCTGAATATAATATATAATAAATAGCAATTCTAAAAAAATGCCACTTTCCCAAAGTGAAGCAAAACAGAAGTCTGTTACCCAGGCAGCGAGTGTTTGCTTCTTAAATGTTGATGTTTTCTCCTATATAGTCCATGGATGTACAGAAAGTTCAGTGATTCTGTACTAGATATTGTTGTACAGTCTGTGTGGGCATGTTTCCTGCTTGCTAAATTAGAATCCTAAAAACTGTTTATTGAGAGAGAGACTACTTTTAAAAAAAAGCTGATGCGACAGCATCCAGCCTAGGTTAAGTGAGCATGGGTTATGCATCTCCTCTGGATTTAGTGCTTTTGAGCTATATGAACTACACAGAAGACCCTACTCTTAACTGGCTACACAGAAGTGCTGTGTGGAGTGTAATTTTCAAACCACTGCTATAACTTGTCCAAACAATCTATCATCTTTTGTTTAAACAGGTACTTACAAGCGGACTTGGAAGCTTTTGATATTAGGGAACTGAAGTCCAAATTTGATGTGATTCTTCTGGAACCACCACTGGAAGAATACTACCGAGAGACTGGCATTACTGCTAATGAAAAATGCTGGACCTGGGATGATGTAAGTATTTTTCTTGCTGTGAAAAGGATTTCGTACATGTATTTAAGAAAGTAATGTGAGGATTTAATTTGGTATCAAAATATTTGAGCTGTGTTTTAAGGAAAAATAGGATTTTTTTTTAAAGAAAAGTCTAGATTCTTATAAACCGAAGTTTTATATTGTATGTATGCCTACACTCTTTGTGTTAAAAGACTTTTTTTTTTTTTTTGGGGGGTTTAATGAATTAAATATACCTTTTGTTCTCCCTGAGCCTGGTTGAAAACTGAAAACCAGTAATAGCGGGTTTTCTCCCTACCCTCAAATTCCGTCAGTTTTCTTTTCTGTTTGGTTTTTGCTGTTGTAATTCAGAATATGCATTGTAAATACTCCCTTGTTTCTTGAGATTCTGGAAGAGAGTTTTGAGGTATGCTTTTCAATATGCTGGTCTTCAAGTCAAAAGAGTAGATGAAAGTGCTTCACTGACATACCTCCTTTCTCCAAGGTATTGATTGGGTAGGAAATTTTAACAATCAAACCAATTGTAATCCTGAGAAGCCTAACAAAATAGATGAACCTTACTTGTGGAATTTTTTCTTGTACGTATGTGTTCCCTTACTGTTTAGTCACATCAAAGGTTTTGTTTTTTTTGAAGCCATGTTGATTTCTGACCCCTTTTTGGGAACAAGGAGGGATCTTAATGTGCAAGATGTGATCTTTTTTGAGATGGCTGTTGGTGCTGTTGTTTTATTGTGCTCTAGTAAACTTTTAGAGAATTGCTTAAAAGATCTTAAACTTCATTCTGTAGTAATGCATGTGGATGCTTGTAAAGAAGGAAATGCTCAAGATGTATTGATAAGTAACTCCATTCTGTATCTTTCCATTTTCAATAAAAGTCAGCTCTCCAAAAGTAAGGTGAGGGCTGGAGGCTGTGAAGTGCTGGATGTCATCAAGTGTAACAATTTGATGACACAAAGCCTGCTGCCGAGTTTCCCTGTCCTTCAAGATTGAACTGGAGAATTCTTTCACTTGAGCGTTAAATAAAAAAACTTGTAATGCTAGTGTCAAATAGTGATAAATTGGCTCTACTCTACGTACCTACACTTTACTCATTTTAAAAAAGAAAACAACAAAAAAACCACAAACAAAAAAAACCCCCAAAACCCAAACAACCCCACCCTCGCAACAAAACAGACAATCTGCAGTAGAGAGGAATAGCTGATTAAAAAAATGTTTGCATAACAATGTCAGGAATTCTTAGGTTCAGGCATATCAGTGAGAACATGCAACTAATAAATACCTTTCAAATACTGTCTCTAAATAATAGGTATGCAGGACTATGCATTAGCAGCAAATTTGTCATAATATAAGTGAATTAGTAGATTGAAGCAGTTGTTGCTGAGATTTTCTTATCTGTGTTCTATGTGGTTTGGGGGAAGGGGATGACGGTGTTACTTCAAACTAGATTTAGTTTGTCTGTAGGCCGAAGCCTGCACATGCATAACTTCAGAAGTGGATCAGTCAAATGAAAGAACATGAGTACACAATAAAATTCGATCCACCTTTAAGAAATGAATTTGAAAACAAAGGCATTCATGCCTGTGATAAGAGACTAGGTAAGTACATGATAAGGAATAGGTAGCTTCTGTGTTAGCCGTTGTGTTACATCAGGCAAAAATGGTGCCTGGCAGTGTTGCCTGGGGAAAAAACATTCCATCCTAATGGAAAAACTCAAAGTGTTGGAGGCAGGAGTCATCTTAGCTGGGAGTTATATCCTCTTAGAATGGCTTCTACTGCATGATTTTTTTTTCTTCACAGTGGCATTGAATGAAGCTTGATTTGATGTGTTAGCAAGTTACAGATGAATCTTTTCAACTCGTAATGAGTAACAGATGCTTTGCATCTGAAGTTATTTCATCCTGAATGTTACTCATTTGTGACTGTTGAACCACTGTCCTGATAAATTATTGCTGCTTTTTTCCTGAAAGTGAAAATGGAGAGAATGCCTTTCCTATATAGTAAGAGGAATTAAGCTGTTGTTTGTTTTGTTGTTGTTTTCTTAATAATGTGTCTTCACAAGCTTCACATAAGTAACTTCAGGGCTGAAAAGAAACGGAGCACTTTTGCTCTGTTGTTAAATTTTTTTGCTACCAATGGAATGATAAAATGAAACTGAGGTTTGGGGGGGGGGGAAATCATGTGGGTTGTATTAGTCTTTTAAGTCTAGAATTTTCTATACAGATAATTATTCTTTTTAACAGAAATTCTAAGCTGGTAATCAGCTATGTTGAAAATACCCACTTGGGTACTGATAAAGTAACTTTTACAACATACTTTGTGGAAAACAATTTTAAGAAGATGGCCATGAATGGTATATAGACTAATATCTTAATAAAAGTGCTTCCTGATGTTTCTGGGATAATGCTTCAACACTTGTTAAGTATTCTTCCTGATATAATTGGCATTTTATATTTAATTCAGAAACACTTTTATTACTATTACTATTATTAGATCATGAAACTGGAAATTGAAGAAATTGCAGCCCCAAGGTCATTTGTGTTTCTGTGGTGTGGTTCAGGCGAGGGTCTGGATCTTGGCCGAGTGGTAAGATGATGTTTTAATTTAATTTATCAGGGACAGGCTTAAGAGTTTATTTTTATCATTGGCTTTTTCTGTATAGAATTCTCAACTGTAACTGCTGAGAGATGTTTTGTTACTGTGGTAGAGGATATGTAATTTTAAGTGGATTAAATAAACTTAAGTGTATCTGGCATTAACTGTTTAGATACTGTTATTTTCCAGATGAGTTGCTGTGACTGTGTGAGGAAGTATAACTCTACAGGGTCTAGAAAGCTGTACTGCTGTCTTAGTTTTGATGTATGCATGTTGCCATAGCAGAAGTTTGAGTGCATTTACAACTTCTTTTTTTTTTTTTTAACAGAAGTCTTAATAGTTTTCTGCCAGAAATATTCATGCTAGTAGAAAGGTGCTACTGTTTCATAAAGTAAGATAAAACTGTGTGCAGAGCACTGCTTATTTTCAGAAAACACCTAGAGTTTAAGTAGGTTTACTCTTAGGGAGCTCTCTGAAGTTTTACTTCCCTATAAGACCTGGGAGTTTCAGATCAATCTTTCTGCATGCCAGGGTAGCACTGCTTGTGTTGGGGATGGTGGAATAAGAATTTCCAGTCAGCTCTTGCTGTGCTGAAACATTCTTTGCTTAGTTTGAGCAGTGCTTTCTGTTAGAACAATATGGCATTTGTTAAAGGACAACATGTGGTTACTAATCTGTTTGCTTTATCTGCTTTTCACTCTGAGGTTGGTTAAAGTACCTATTTCGGATAGTTTTTGGTCATAGGCATACTCATAGCAGCTGGATAGTTCTTGAATACAGCACTAGGCAAATGAACTTAAGTCCTTAATGTCCAATTTCCTCCCTTTCCAAGACTACACTTAACAGGAGTTAAGGATTAAAAAGTCATGTCAGGTTTTGGGGTTTTTTTTTTTTTTAGTGTTTTGGTGGGTTTTTTGATGTTTGGACTTTGTTGGGGTTTTTTTTGTTTTTGTCTGGGGGGGGCAGGTTTAACAGATACAGGAAAACCCACAAACTGGTAGCAAAGGCTTTTGGCTGTTTATCTTCCTGTTTATAGAATTTTACATTGATGTGAAAAACAACCAGAGTGCAGGTAGTAGTGGAGACAGGGCCAAGGCAGCTGATAACTATGCTGCTCAGCCTGATTTTGATTTAAATTTAAGTGTCACTAGGTAAAAATGAATGCAGAGTTCCGTAGGGGATCTGTGCAGTGGTTAGATATTTTAAAAAAAAAAAAAAAGCATAGACAAGTCGATGTGCATGTAAGCTTTTTTTGGGGTAGGGGGAGGCAGCTTGACAAAACACAGTACAGTCATGCCAGTAAACTGTTCCATTCACCTGTGAGAAATTTCTCTTTCAGCTATGCTTTAAGAAAAGTCCAGTACCTCTATGAGTGTTCAGTTTAGGTTACTTAAGTTTTTGTTGTAGTGTGAACTGTTTTATCTGTCTGTAATATTTAGTGTCTACGCAAATGGGGTTACAGAAGATGTGAGGACATTTGTTGGATTAAAACGAATAAGAACAATCCTGGAAAGACCAAGACTCTAGACCCTAAGGCTGTTTTCCAAAGAACCAAGGTAAAGGTTTGGCTCAGTTTCTCCTCTGTTCCCATCCTGTTTCTTTGTGCTCATGAAATACCTGGTGCCCCACTGCAGTTGGTGACTCTTTCAGGAAAGCGGACGTGAGGACTTCAGAGTTCTGCTCTGCAAAGTACATTATATGGAAATAAACATATTCATAGGATGAATGATGAACTTCTGTCCCCTTCTTGACTTTAGTCAGTGTGAGGTATAGAAGTTTTATCTACATTTAACACTGTTTGGTAAATTTCTATGATAGTCCTCTAAATATGATAGTCATTTGAGCCTTGTTGAAATGCAGAGAGCTGAGGAGGGTTCATACATTGATGGAACAAGAATGAAATGGAAAATGTCACTGTACATCACAATGTTTTCTACTTCTGGGTTGTTTTGGTTATGGGTGAATGGTAAATAAGCAGTTAGTCTATTAGCAATACCTTTTGTGTAAAACGCAAGCTCCTTTCCAGATTAGAGGAGAAAACTTGCTGGCAGAGGAACACCTTTTGAATGGAACTAAACTTAGCAGTAGAATTTGACTAAATTTAATGTCAAAAGATGTCTTTAAAACTGTAGATTATAAATGGATGTAGTCACAAAAAAACCCCACCAACCTCTGCAAGACTGGCTAATGGTTCTAAATACACACGTGCAAGTATGTGCCCAGAGCTTGAGCCAGATAGGACTGCTAGGGACCATAGCTCAGTCAGCATCTCCTGATTTCCTGAAGACAACTGTAATGCACAAGTGACAGAATTGGTCAGCTTGGTTTAAATTAAACAGTTTCTTAGGGATGTGTTGTGGAGGATGTGTATTGAAGAAGGTACAGGGAAAAAGTGTTCTGACTTAAGAGACTCAAATGTGTGTTGTTCAAAAACTTAGAAAATATAGATAGGATTCATAAAGAATTGTTTCAGGTATATGTGGGTGTAACTGTGGCAGTTCTACTGAATACAGAGAGTTGGCTGACAATTTAATAATTCATAGTGTCATTAAACTCGGGACTCATTCCACATTCATTAATCATTTGTCAGTATTAAACATCCTCAACTCTGTCTCAGATTTGCCATTTTTTAGTAGTATAAACTTCCCTTTAAGATATCTGGAATCTTTCTCTGACTTGCATTTACATTAATCTGAAGTTTGTTTGAAAGTCTGTTGTATTAGTTATAAATATTTATAAGTATAAATATTGTGTGTTTATTGCATATAGTATTGCAAATATATGCAGCTCGCTCATGAAGGAGAGGTTAGAACTAACACAGGAGGTTTGGGGGGGGACTTTATGTCTTTGTTTAACAGAGGAGAGTAGTTTCTGGTATTAGAGAATTTCTCTGTTTATTGAGCAAAGGTTGGGCTGAGGTCACTCTTTATAATAAACATTGAAAATTGAGCTAGCTTATTCTGACTAAACAAATGGTCTGTTGTGCAAGATGTATTTGCCAATGATTACAACAGTAAATGCTGTCCTATGATGTTTAGTTTAGGCATCTCTCTAGATGGATGCTTTCTGCTGTGCCACCTGTTATAGAATCCAAGGTACTAACAAATGATATTACATGTGTTACAAAAAGAAAATGTTTTGTATAGTTTTTCTAAAGACTAGATTTACAAGGCTTTGCTTAATGGGTAATTTGCTCAGCAGTGTTCTGCCTTTTTATTTAGCTAAATTTAAGGTCTGAAAATCTTGTAGCTTGGGTGCAGTTCACCAACTGCATAGATTGATAGGTCACCTATTCTGCCTTCCATATTTATTCACTAACTCTTAAAACCCTTGCCAAAAATCTGGAAATTATTACATACTCTTGTTTGCAACGTTTTTTAGAGCTATCTGGCAGCACTTAGTGAATCATTGCTTTATGGTGCTGGGGAAAGTCGCTCATCTGAGTTTAATATTCCCAGAAGCAGAACTCTCAAATGAATATGTAGAACCCTCTTTTCATCCTGTACCAATTATGGTGATTCCTCATTCATAGATTCTACATACTAGTCACTTAAATTGATCTACAATGTTTTAGAGGAAAGGAAAGCAATGCATATGACGGTTAAAGAACATTTTTAATGCTGATGAAGTTGATTGAGAGCGCATTGACAATTTGGTAGTGGGTTTACTTTTTTTCATGCAGCGATATCTCCTAGAAAGGAATCTGAGGGTGAAGGCTACTTTTGTAACAGAGGTACAATATGAAAAAATACATCTTATTTTCACTGACTGGCTGTTTTATGACTGAGGACTTTGAAAATTATTTGTATGAATAAAGTTAGGATCAGAATGCTGATACAAGTGTTAATCATAATTAACAACTGTTCCCTTACTCTTGCCATCACCTTCACCTTGTACTCTCTTTCCTTGTGGTGATTTCTCAGCCTTTCCAACTTGAAGCTCTAACTTTGCTGTAATTGAAGAAGTCCAAATACTTATCTCAGCCTCTATTTGAGTTTTACCACTTCATAGTGTAGTTCATCAAGCCAGATAGCTTGAACTACTCTCTGCTTTGTTTTGAAAAGGCTCTTTTGGTAGCTCCAGCTTGTTCTGTTCTTCTAGTTCATGCTTCAGTCTTTTCTCTGTGTAAGAGTAGGATCTACTCTGCTCAGAATTTCCTTTTCTCTCTATTGTACTCGGACATCTGTGCTGTAGCTGCGTGTGCGGCATGTGACAGGTACTCTTCTGTGTTCTGTGTGCATAGGAGCACTGCCTCATGGGCATTAAAGGAACTGTGCGCCGCAGTACAGATGGTGACTTCATCCATGCTAATGTTGATATTGACCTAATCATCACAGAAGAGCCTGAAATTGGCAACATAGAAAAACCTGTAGAGATTTTTCACATCATTGAGCATTTCTGCCTTGGACGACGACGTCTTCATCTTTTTGGAAGGGACAGTACAATTCGACCAGGTAACTGTTATGTTTATTTTTGTCAAATAGTTAAATTTTTATTTACTTTAGTAACCCTCTTCCATCATCTGTGGCCACCTGATGGGTTCTGATGGAAGCTGAGACAATAATGGGTAATCCTAGTGCATGATTCCTTCTGCCAGGACTTGCACCAGCTGAATCACTGTGTATTAATACATAACCCCATTTCTCCCACCATGGGATTATGGTACCATGGAAAGCCAGATGAGCTTTCCATAGTGGAAATCTAGTCAGGAGTGAGAAAATCTACTGGATGGAGAAATTTCCCAGGTTTCCTGCCCTCCCGTTCAGATAACTAACTAGCCTAATGAATGTTCAGCAACAGAGGGATTGTGGCATCCCTTGACAGTTCTCCCAACGCTTTGACAGTAGCAAGGTGACTTCTGCTCTAGTTAATGTTCTGTCTTTCAAATAGCAGAAGATTTTGGTAGAACTAAAGATCTCACATGCGTATCTTTTTAGCAAGAATGGCTATCTTGGGGTGAATCCTCAGCCTGTGTTGCAGGAGCATCATAGAGAACCCTACTGAGTGATATTACAGTTAGGTTATAATTTCTGTTACTGTTATGTTTGGGAGCAAGATCAAGTCACAAATCCAGTTTAACACTGCTTACTGGTAAGTTTTGTTTTATAAATACTCATTTTTAGAAGTAAATACTTGCTCAGATGGTAAGACCTTTATGCTTTTGTTTTCTCCATGTTATCTCTAATTGAAAAATGCTGAAATTATTCTGTATTCTGCTGGGATACTGAAATGTATAATTTCTATCTTTTTAAGTTCCCATTCTGAATGTTTCCTTTCTATTAAACTTTTATTTTTGGACTTAATAGTGAAGTAAACTCCACACTAGCTCTAGGAATTGAAATGTCTTTATCACGTGCAAGACAGAGTAGCAGAATTATCTGCTTGCAAAATTCGTATCAGTGTCCTAAAGGGCTTTCCAGACATATGTCATAGCTTAGACAGTAGATCTCAAGTTGATATATTTTTGGTTTATGTGAAGATCTGTCAGTCACAAAACAGTGCTGGTTGGAAAGCTACGACAACTATCAATCTTTTCAGAAGGAAGTTTTTTGTTAACCAATATTTTCGCCTCTTCATGTGTTTAATTCATCAGTGAGTATAACAAAATTCAGTTGAGACTTTTTTTCCCCATGTGCCATGTGTTTATACTTCTCAGAAGCATGGTTTCTTTCTCTAAGCTGATTTTAAATGCCTATGGACTTAGTGCCGGTCCTGTTGTCAGTATTTGAAGACCCAGTGTCTTACACTGGATGGTGCATCTGGCATGGTAAAAAATGTATAGAAATATATGGATCACATTGAAGGTAACTGCATTTTATTTATTTTGATGGTCAGGCCTCTCAGTTTATCATGAATGAGTGATGAAGGACTTTTAGTGCAGGAGAATACAGACTGGAAGAATAAAATCTATTTTGACACCTTTTTGGACTTGTGTATCTGTTGTCAATGACATTTCTGCCCTAAAGCCTATTGTGAAATACAGTTCAGCAGTCCTGTTTCTTTCAGCTGCTAATGGATGCTTGAACTGGCAGACTTTCTACCTTATGTTACGGGTAGCGTAGTCATACTTCCCCTACTGATGGGTACTGTGAGGGTTGGTCTCCGAACAATTCATGGTAACAGCATGCCCTTTTCAGAAGCAAGGGCAGGGAGTGGGGCAAGTGCTATAGCTGCACTTGCTTTAGGTTTGTTTAGCAGTTTTGTGTAAAACGTTTCTCCCCCAAATAGAGATTAATAGTCTGGATGGCAGAGGAGAAGTGGATACAAGTCCATCCATGGCCTGGTTTGCTGCCGGTGAATGCTAATACTATATATCAGTATACATCTGCAAGCAATAAGTTACCTAAATAAATTTCAAGGTGATGTTTCTCTCTTGCTCATATGACTAGGGAGTAGTGATTATTGGCCATTCCTATTCTTTGACTGGCCTTTGGCTTGAATTTTAATGATGATGTCAGTCTTAATTCTGTTGGCTACTGGTGTGTGTGTGTGTGTGGAAGGGGGCTGTCTTGTTTTGTAGAAAGACATTGTTCAGGTGTTACTTCAGTGCTGTTGTAGGTGAATTCTTATACATTAATGTCCCACAGGGACATGTTAGTCTGATTCAACTTTTGTATTTTTTAAATGTGGTGGTTACCCTGGAATTGCATTGCATACTTTAAATGCTATACTCATCACAGATCCTCACAGTGCTCTGTGAAGTATGAAAACCTAACCTCTCTCTCTCTCTCTTTTTTTTTCTTCCCCAAATAGGCAGGAAGCAAGATAAATGTTACGTAAACTCCTAGAGTAGAGAGAACAGTGTTAAAAGAACTGATCTTGGGGTTTTATTATTTTTTTCCTTATAAGCATGTTGTTGAGATCACTGAACTATATTTTTCTTCATTAATATGTGATACAACTGAAAATTAAATTCCCACTGACATTTTTAAGCAGTCTGAGCCCCATTTTAGGTCCGAACACTACTTAAGCTCAAAATATGAAGAAATAGGAATGTGCTTGTTTTAAACATCTGCCTGCCTTGATTCACTTGATGAAGCTGAAGTGCCCACTGAATGTTTGTGCATAAACAGGTTAATTTGACTCTTTAACCTCTTATATCATGTAGGCTTCAACAGAATTGTTACTGTGTTTTCAGATATGTGCTTGCAGCATGCTGGAGCATCTTGGCTGTGCTGTCACAACTGGTTTCTGGAGACAAAATTACCTAATTCAAGTTTACATGCCTTTTAAAAAGGGGAGAAGGAGGAGGAGGATGACATTATTTTTAAACTAGACTAATTTACTGATCTGGTTTAGTCTGGTCCCAGACTGGAAAACATTGGGTTTGAAAACATTGTTGTGGTATAATAACAAGTAGGAAGGAGGGGGAAGGGGTCTTGTGAAACCACAGGGTGAATGTTCCCATAACCATGTGTAATTTAAGAAGACAAAACAAAAAAAACCAACCAAACAAAAAAACAACCCTTGGGAATACCAAACTAAAATTTTAACTTTTCAACAACTCTGGATTTTCTAGAGGCAACCTTCTCATTCCATTGAATACAGGTGACATGTCGATAAGTGTCTGTCCCTATCACTTAACTGTTCATTTACTGGCAAGGAGACAACAATGGCCTTGAAGCATGATGGTTTTTCTTGCTTTTGTTGACTCTGGTTTTGTTCCCTAGGTTGGCTGACTGTAGGACCTACCCTCACAAACAGCAATTTCAATGCAGAGACGTATTCTTCGTACTTCACAGCTCCAAATTCCCACCTGACTGGCTGTACCGAAGAGATTGAGAGACTTCGGCCCAAGTCACCTCCACCCAAGTCTAAGTCTGACCGGGGTGGTGGTGCTCCAAGGGGAGGAGGAAGAGGAGGGACTTCAGCAGGCCGAGGAGAAAGGGGCCGAGAGAGGAACAGAACTAACTTTCGGGGTGAGAGGGGTGGCTTCAGAGGGGGACGTGGAGGTACCCATAGAGGAGGCTTCCCCACCCGCTGATGACTGTTAGGTAATTGCTTCTTCCCCCCATCCTATGCCTCATCTCTGAATCTTTTTCTTAGTCTTGTTTTTGCTAAAGTGAATTATTCTGGGGACTTGAGCTAGATGACTTTTAAAACTGGTTTTGGTGCAAGCAGTTACAGATAGTCTGCCTTCCAGTGACTGGCCTGGCACATCCGCTCAGCTGGCAGGCAGGGTCCTGCACCTGACAGCACTAAACTCAGCCTCCCAACAGCTTCTATTTGTCCAAGCAGAGCGCACCATCTCTTCAAACCATGGATGGGATTGAAGTGAAGACACTCGCTCTTCCCTTATGAAACTTGCAAGTTGTAGGCTCCATTAACTCTATTCTTCTCCAAAACATGGATTCCTCTTCCTTCTCTGAAGGTGCAGGTTTGGACTGACTTGGATTAATACGGTGGAGTGGGCGTGAAATGCAGTTCTGAATTGCATGGCCGTAGCAGACTTACTCTCTTATTCGTGGAAGAAAAAGTGCTGTGTCTATACTGACGCCTATTTTAACTTCTTTGAAACCAAGGAGCAAACTGAATAAATAGAATTCTATTTTTTCTTATTTGGTTAAAATTTCCCAAATGATTCCTGGGAATAGGGAACAAGTTTATCTTTTGTGGTGTATATGCACTGACTTTTCATGTCTGAGGTGGGGAGAGTGGTAGTTCTGTGCAGTTGTCTTGTGCTTCATGGAAAGCAGGAAGTTGTGTATTTATGTGCAGTCCAGAACGTCTGCAAAGGTCTGTATAGCTGCTCGAGTAGGGATTTTCACCCAGCGTCTGTCCACAATAGCCTTGTTCTTTGGTAGGGAAAACCAGTTTTATTGCAGAGCAATTGCAGTGTAAGTAGCAGAGAGACCTTGTTGGAGGTCGTATTGGAAATGCCAGGTGATCTTGTAAGAAAGAGCGAGTGCTTCCTGAAAATAATCACCTGGGTAATGAGGGTGCAGTAATCGAACCGAGTGTTTCGCTTTGCCCGTGGATGTTACGTGCACTGGAAGTAGACTGTTGGTGATCAGCTCCGGAGTACCGTGTGAAATGAAAGCAGTTCACTTTGGTGTATGTACAATATTTGTTTTTAGCAAAACCACAACTCTGAGCTTCTTGGCCAATACTTGGTAGACTGAACAAACCTGGCTGTTGAAGTCTCAAAATCTTAGGTGTTGGAAAATTGGCTTTTAGGTCTCATAATGTTTCTCTATTGAAGCCTAGCTTTTATATAACTGTCCTGTAAAGTAGTGGATTATTAAACTTGTTTATCAAATAATGTTGAAATATTTTTCTTAATATTTTGTGGGTTTGTTCTTGAGGTTTTGGAATTGATAAGTTTTACTGTGGTTTCCTCCCTACTGTTGTGAAAGAGAAGGTAGTAACTTTTTTCTTTTGGTGCCCGAAACGTTTGTGTGCAAATTTTTAGGGTCTGGTCAACTTCACGGCCTTGGTACTGTGCTTTCTAAGGGACTGCTGAAATGCAGGTGAAACTCACCTATTGCTCACATTTTGTTTCTTCCTGTCTTACATTGGCATGTCTCAAGAGTGAGTGACTGGATTTGGGGGGGGACGGGGACGACAGTGTTTTAAGGGTAGTGCCCATCTGACTGTCAGTGAAGTCTGTCAAAGACTACTTGGATCAGTGTTTGACAGAAGTTACATGCCACAGTAAGAAAACTTTTTCCTGATTGTGCCCTAATCACGTTCTTACTCAAAAAGCAAGTACTGGAAACACTTAACCTTAGGAAGTCTGCTTTTGTGCCAGTGACAAATCTTCCTTTTCTCCTTTTCTCAATTAGTAGAAAATGTTAATTTGCATTTCCCCCTTTTAATTGTATGCCCACAGCTGATACAGTTCAGTGCTTAGCCTACTCTTAATGTAGAAGATTAGGCCACACTGAAGAGGAGACTCAAAAATAACCAGTTGAGATGGGCATCTGTGCCAGTTTGCAGAAGTTGGGGTGCTGATCAAGACTTCAGTGACTTGGGAAATTAATTGCATGTGGTCTCGTAAAAAGAAAAAAAACCTCTACCATATAAATCCCTCTTGAGCATGCAGAGTTAGTTTCTTGTTTTTGCCCCTCAAAGCTGAAATAGCTAAGGAAAAAAGAATATTGCTCCACAGAGTGTTAGATTAGATCTGTCTGGATGGGCCAACTCACCAGAGAAGTGTAGTGTAGGTGTCGTTGACAAGCAACTGACCTTACTTTTTTTAATTGAGGTTGACAGACAGTTACCTATGCTCTGTGAAGACAGACACCTGCTGGTCCTAATCTGAAGGTGGTGTTTCAGATCGATTGCCTGTAAAGGTAAGACAGTAGTGCGTGGGTGTGCGTACCCAAAGGCGCGTACTTGCGGTTGTGGAGATGATACTTAGAAAACATGGTAGTGAGATGCTATCCCCCCCCCCCGGTTATATAGAAAAAACATCTGGTCATCTTTTTAATCACTGTTGATTTGGACTGTATCTAAAGTGGTGTCTAGAGATGAAAAGCTTTTAATTTCATTACCGGTTGTCAGTTAATTTCTCAGTTGTAATGCTTTAACAGAAGGAGGAGGATAGCACTCATCATCAGTGAACTGATGAGTATTTCATTTACCGCAAGTAAGTAAGACTTAATTTGAGCATGCTATCCTTGATGATAAAAAGCCTAACAAACAAACAAGTTTCTTACTTGCCAATTTTACTGAATGCCTAATGCCACCAATCTGATTTGGGGTGCCTGTCTAGATCTCATCATGTCTTTCCATTCTGGAAGAGGCTCATAGTATCTTGCACTCCACCTGAATTGAGTGAGTGAAGGATTCGACAGTTGCATCAACAAGATACTTGGGATGTCAGCATTTAGCTTCAAAGGGGTTTTAAGACATCAGTCAACTGTAAATCCAGTTGTCAGTTTGAGAATTCTTTCTACCTTCTGATGCTGCTGGTTACCAGAAGTTGGTTGAAATTCTGGATGTGCTGTGTGGGTTAGTGGGCAATGCTCTTGGGGGTTTTGGGGTTCTTCCCCAGCACAGTATGATGAACACAGGCTCATGGCGTATGTTCATAGATACCAAATGCTTTGTTCAGTGGAGTGGGATTTAGGCTGCAAACTAAAACACAATTTTGATCTGACAATGGCAGTAAGTCTCGGGATTAATTTTAGAATACTCAGATGTTTTAAAATCTTTGGCAGGGGATAGAAATACCCAGAATGCACTCTAGAAAAGAATAAATTAACACTTCAAGGCCATTACATTGAAAACATCTATAACTCTTGTTTCTTGAATGTGGCTTTTTAAGGATACATTTAACTAAAAGTGATAGATAATGAGACCCACTGTTTCTGTTTGTAGTACAAAAAATGATTTATCCTGCCAAAATTGGTAAAGAAGTTGGTGGCAACTTTATTGCTATAGTAGAAATTGCCCAGTGTAATGGGAGGAAGGTCAACTTAATAACATGGAGGAAAGCTTGCTAATCCTTTTTGTAACAGGTTGAGAAAGCAAGGAGTAGTTAAGTTGTATGGTGAAACACATTGAGTATAATTATTGTAGCAATTAAAAAGGAAAAAAAAAGGGCCTAACTCCTGTGAATCTGAGTTGAGTATTACAGTCCTGCTGTTTGTGCCGGAGACAAGAACTGCACTTGCAATATGTCTGTGCTATAACGTCTATGATTGCTGGAAGAGCTGTTGTATCAATGTGTATCTTGGTGCTAGTTTAGCCATTATGATGCCTTAATGCAGGTAGAATTAACTCTGTGTGAAAGGCCAGAGCTCTGACAAATTAGCTATGCCAGTATAAATAGCTTTGTCTTACTGCAGCTTTGTTCTGAATAGCACCTCAGTGCCTGAAGTCCTGGCTCTCTGTAGGCTTTGCCAGCGCACAGGTAAGTAAGTAAGTGACATGTACACCTTCCTCCAGAACTGTAGGTGTGACATGCTGCCCTAAAGCAGTTGATCAGTGTTGCTTGCATGGCCTGAACTGGCCAAGTAGAAGATGCATGTGGTTGCGGTGCAGACATGCTCTTTCGGCCATCAGCAGACTCCATGGAATACGGTAAGGAAACAGGCGCTGAGCAAGTGTGGCTGAGGCAGGAGCTGTCTGGCGAGCAGCTCACCAGCTTCCTACCTCTACAGGGAAACTCTCATTCATTGCAGTTGCTGTGAACTTTGTTCAGCAGCTGAGCACAAACGTTTCCCTAATTACACTGCCTTACTATGTAAGAATGGCTGTGTCTTCCCATTTCCTGACTCATTTGGTAAGTCATTTTTCTAAAACAGTTTACCTGCCAGGCTGTTCTGGCACATTTGAGACCTAGTTTGAGCAACTTTCCTCGCTGTAACAGGGGGGTGATGCTAACAGCAGTAACACACTGCAAATTCTGTAGTGCCAGATAAGCTTGCCTGTCTTTACAGTCGGTGTAGGAGAAGGTGACCTACAGTGGTCTTGACTGATGGTGGTGTTTATGCTGTGTAGGAATTATTGTTGCTAATTTTACTTTGCCGTATTCCCTGGCTCCTGAAGTCGGTGCAACAAACCTTCTGCATTGTCTTGCTGTGCTTACAGGGAAAGGCACTGCATGAACCTTGAAGCCAGTTTCTGTTGCTAGTTGCCCTAAACACCCCTCTGTAGTGACCTGGGCTACTAGTTTTAGGTGCTAGCGTTTAAGAGGTGTTGGATAGCTTTTGGCAGAGGCTGATAGCATAAAAAACTTTGAGACCTTAGTGTATGAAAGAGTAAACACACACATGATGATTATATTTAATAACTGCTTATTTCTTTACACATAGAGTTGCTGGTGTCATTTTACAAAGTACACTGATTTGGAATGGCAACAAATACTTTTTACAGGGTAAAGTCTTCAGCTAAAAAGTGCTTGAATTCAGTCCAAGGATCCTTTTGTAAGATAGATAGCCACTTACTTCTTTAAGAGCTCTCAGCCAATGCTCAAGGATACAACTGTTTTGATAAAGCTATGAAAAAAAATATGCATCTTGACTGCTTATCTTGGGTATTAAAATGATTAACACTAAGTAATGACACTAACATGTTTAAAGGCACTTTTTTTTTTGAGTCTCAACTCTTATCCTTACTTTTGAGGGGTTTTTGCTTTCTTTGAAACACTGATTTTTGTAACAATAGCTTTTCAAGTTTGGAAAAGTTCAAACCTCACATGCAGAGGTGTTGGTCCTAAAGATACAAACTGATGAAGTATCTGAGGTAAACAGCTCTTCCAAAGATGCTGGCTTTCTAAATTCTACCTTAAATATTGATACTAGCAGAGGCTTATTTTTCAAAGCGGTGACTGTGGAATAGACCAGTCATGTGAGAGGAGGTCACTGTAATAGAACTGGTATTAAACAAGAGGCTTTCTTTTTATAGCACCACAAATAACCTTTGGTTAATGTGTCAACTGTCTTACAGTTGACCTGCCACTGAAACTTTGAGGGACAGATGTTTATTTATCAAAGTTTTATTGGACATTCCAGTTAGCAAATGCACTAAATAAAACCTAACGTGTTCAATTTTGAAAATGTAATTAAATAGTATGCTAAATTAATTGCTGCCCTTAAGACTAGAGAGTTGTACCATAATAGTGTGGCATTATCTGCCAAACTTAGCAACAGGATTGTTTGGTTACTGTTCTTCCTGTGGTCTGTTGTTGTTAAACTTGAGTCAAGTCCAGTTATAAACAGAGGCATTTTTGTGTCCTGGTTACCTAGGGCTCTGTTGCTGTAGGAAGTAATGCTTGTCCCTTCCAGGAAAAAAGGGATTATTTTTTAGAGGTTAGCTTTACATGAAGAACTTTGAAGTACTCAAATTGAACTACACGATTATTGCAAATCTGATTCAACTGTATGCCCTTACTTAGAAAAAGCAGTGTTTTCTATTTTTTTTTTTTCCTCTTCAGTATAGATTTTTAGCATCTTTCCTGGTACTTGTACAACTTATGACTAGCAAAAGGAATAATTAAGAGTTTTCTAAATTATATTTTAATAAATGCATCCCATATGCTCTTAAGCGTTGACAGTTTGAAATCTGGCACTTCATTTACTTAGAGAAAGAGTCAGGACTCCCAGAAGATTAATACCTGAGTGCAGAACTTCCTATTCTACAGCTTAATAAGTAAACTAAATACACAGTGAGAGTTGGTGTGAAATGAAACTGTACAAAAAGAGCACAGAAAAGGTTCACTAAAGCACAGCAGAATGCCCAGGTATGGTGGAGCTGTGGGCCAGCCTTCAGGCACCAATGACTGTCCCTCTTGCAAAATCAAAAAGAAACTGACAAAGCATTCTTTGAGTTTCCTTAACTGAGCAGCTGGCAGATCTCTTTGTGAACACAGCATAAGAAATCCACGTAAGAAGCTCCTCCGTAAATACTCTTGTCTTCTACCAGGAACTGTCGGAAAAGCACCTCTGGCTGCTCCCGTTGTTTCACTATAATCAGCTGAGAAGATGAGATACATAATTTTAGGGTACAATCATACTATGGCAGTAGAGTTTTCCTGTATCTGTTACTGTATGCTGTTGGGGGGGGGGGGACACGACCAGTAAATCTCTACCTTTCAGTAGCTGTATTTACAAACATAGGAGAGAGACTAGTGTGAATTAAGGTTTGCAGAATGAAATGGTAACCTTTTAGACTCAACTACCTCTGAAAATATCTTTTGATTAAGAATTAAACATGAGATGTTTGTGCCTACAACGCATGCTGCAACTCCCAGCAAAATTCCTGATAATGTAAAACCGTTCACAGCTACCAGTAAGTTTTGTCAAAGCCAGTAGTGTTCTTTTGAACATGTATGAGGAATGAGTTGAGGCAGAGAGAAGTTACCTTCATAGTGTAGGGCTTTTGGCTCTGGATACGCTCCAGTATTGACTTAAGTTTCTTAGAAAACGGATTGTCCAGGTCAGGCAGTGATGTCTGTCAGAATGAAAGCACGGGAGGTTGTTATATGCCAGTCACATCTTTTATGCATTCATACAAGACTAGCTGCTGATATTTATGATGCAAGTTACTGCAGATTTTGGCTCTAAACCGGGAAATGCCATCTCCTTCACCAAAGTATGTCTCTTGTCTGTCTAAGCTGTTTTTCAGTTTAAAATAATCACTATATGAAAATTCATTATCAAGAGAAACATTAACTATTGCAAAGTTATTTGTTCCAATTTTAGCAACACACATTCAATAGAAGTTTTAATAACTAAAACAGTGGAAGTTTAAGGTGGTTTAAAAATGCTGTGAAAGCTTCTCTCCTGTAAGCATTCAGCGTGTTAAAGCTTATTAAAGTTTTAGGTATGTTAAGACAGTTCTGGTGTCTTAACACCTTCTGCTGGTCACCTGTTTCTGCTTTTACTTGAATGATGAAAATCTGTCTCACTTGTTTCAGTAGCAGTCTGGTCTAACTAAATCATAAATTCTGAAAAAGGAGGACTAGTCTCCGTCTACTCACAGCCTCGGTGCTGATGTGTGCAAAGGATGGCACGTTGAAAAGCCCTTGGATGAGCTCTGGGGGCGTGCTGACTCCCAGCCATAGGAACATACTCAGACCATTGGCCAGAAGGAAGGCCCCTCCTTCTGAGAGACGTTCCTCAGAGCAGCGGACAGCAGCTGGGACGGTGTCACTCTTCAGATCCAGGCTGTGCTATGGGGCAAAAATACACAACAGTTATTGTACTTGGTGACTTCAAGGTGACTAAAGCTCTAATTTAGATACTGAAAAGTAACTGTTGAAAGGTTTTGTACATCTTAGCGGTTCCTTTCCAGATTAGAGGAATTAGAAACCAGCCCTCTTCTTTTTCCGTTAGTGCACTGTGTGCAAAGGAAGACCTGCCCTACATGGGGAGACTGATCACTGCTGATCTTTTAGTAAAGCTGGCATCTTTCATTAGCCTGGGCCAAAACCTTGCTAAAAGTACAGTGAGATTCTTAGAGGATGCTGATGTCAGTGATTGATAATGTTACTTCTCCCTTTTCCATTAAACTAGAGGTTGTACCCTCCTACCTCAAGTTAGTTCAACTAGCAACTCTGTCACAGTAAAAATGTAATCCAGCATGGTAGTACAACACCTGCCCAGCAGACAGAATCTTTTCTGCACCTGTACAATTGTAAAATCACAATGTACTGAAAAAAGTTTTGCTGAAAATGAAAAGATGATGTACAAACAACATACTCACAATTGGCAGAAGCTGGGGATACAAAAACAACTGTGTGTCAGCTACCCCCATAGACATGACCAGCTGTCGGTGGTAAGCTCTCTCATCAGTTGGAATTTCTGGTCTGCCAACTAGCACACAGCTCTTCAACAGACAGTTCATGTACACTGGCAGCACCTTCATTGCATCTGGAAGGATGAGCTGAGAGGCAGAGAAAGCTTGTTACTTAGTATATCCCACATGCTGGGGAATGAGAGCTGGACTTTCAAACATTTAACTAAACCACTGCTTGTTTTCTTTGATGAAAAACTAGAAAACTTGTTTATATGTGCTGTTTCAAACCAGATGTGACAGCTCTGAATGGTTAATACATTTAATAAGAATCCAACAGAAATTTTTTGCCCTATAGACTGTAGTCATCATCTTGGATGCTGTTGTCTCCCTGTAACCCATGCTCATTTTTAGGTACTAAATTAAAGGGGAGTCACATAGGAAAAGTGGGTGTTTTTTCTCTGAACCATTAGGAGGCAAATGAAGGTCCACAGCAAGTGTCTCTCTGGTCCTCGCTAACATTAAACAAGTCAGTGCCCAGGCTTTTGGTTACTGGAAGGATTGCATGGTATGAATCGCCAGGACATAAGGGTGAATAATTTAAAAGGAAGCACCTGTTGCTTTTACTAGAGCCATTGAATTTTAAGGATGTGCTAATAATTCTAATCTTTATGTTACATTCAAGAAGAAGAAGAAAGAATTAATTTCAGCATTAATGTACAAAATTGCCAATTGTCATTCAAATAAGTCCTGAAATTGTCCTTTCTGGTACTGCTGATGTTGCAGGGTTGGTTGTTGTCTGCTGCAAAGCCTGGCTGGGGGAGGACCAAGTTCGGATGGGTTTTACCTGGCTTACTGCCGACGGGCTGGCACAATTCTTCCTGTAACAGGCCAGCATGTGAGCTGTCTGATTCACCAGGATCTCTCTGACCATCTTCAGTGGTTGGCTTAGAATGGCTTTAAAAGCTACAAATACAGAAGAATAAAAGAACATGCTAAAGATGGACACATACTCTTAAAAGTATCTGTATTCTGCTAGCTTCTAATTTTACTTAACCTGAGGTCTATGGCTGCTTTTTACTCTCTTTTACAGACAGCATCTTGGAGGATGTTTATTCATCTATCTTTGCCTAAAAAACCCCCCACCAAACCTCCAACACTATGATAGGATGTCCATTTCTACTACTGTGTCTATACGGTTTTGTGCATTACATGTTTCTAGCTACCTTCACAAGCATTACATTTAAGGCAGTATGTCTAAAATATGTAATCTATTTGTCTTTTCAATTTTATACTACTTCAAGAGTTGCTCAGGCTTGGAGCAGCAAGTTACAAAACACGATTTCCCTCTAGGTAAGCACTTCAGCCCCCTTTCTTTTTCCTTCCTCCACCCCAAAGCAAAAAAAGGAAACAAAATCCATCTGTTAAACTTTACCTGACTTAGCGAAGAAGTTGATAAGTGCATCTGTCTCACAAGTTTTGTAGACATCAGCTAACTGGGAACTACAATTTAAACCTATATTGTGTATGCGAAGTCTTCTTTGCCCACTTATTGATGTGTAGAGGACCGCACACTGTAACAGAGAAGCAAATTACCATTTATTTTTATTTTAAAACGAAAAGCTTCCATCACGCAAGAGCCACCTACTTTGTGCATAAAAGGCATAATACAATTACTTCTGTTACTCTCATTTGCTACACACTGATGGTATCATCTGAAAAACAAGAGACCACTGATTGTAAATCTGTAAGTCATACTGTGTAATCGTGCAATATTTGAACAGTTCGAATAAATGTATTGGAAAAGATGCCGCACAAGAGATAAGAAGCTTGCTTAGCAGTACTCTGCCCATCACATTATCTCTTGGCAAAAACAACACAAAACCCACTTCTTAATCTGAAAAGTTGAGTGGTTCTTTTTACGTGAATAAGTTGCTTATGAAGCAAAGGGAGGTCCTGCTAACCATGGGCTTACGTACTAAAAATCAAGGGTGTAACTTAAGAATTTCCTTACTACTCCCATTCTATTTCAACATAATGTTGATACTTCAATATAACATATGATCTAAAAGCCTGCAGGCCAAACACAGACTGCAAGCTACCTTGCATTAGATTCTTCCACAAGTATCTCTCATATGAAAGAGCTGTAAATGCAACATCTACATGGCCTATACATCCCTGCCACAGCTGCACCGTGGCTCTAGGAAGCAACTTCAGACTTACCGAACTGGATGTTTCGCCACACAGGGATTAACTGCTGACCTATGAAATGTATTTATAGGGGCAAGCTAAAAGCCAAGCAGAACAGAAATAAAAAGTTCAGATAATCCTGTGGCTTAAGTTTAAAACCTTGCAAGCAGTAACATTTTCTGTCATTAAACAAGAAAAAGGTCATGACTAAACACCTAGAATAGTAAACCACCAGATCCCATTCATTATCTGTTAATGGGTGGGATAATCCCATTCCTAACAAAAGATGTATCACAAGTCTGCTTGTTGGCCATTTACACAGAGAAATACCAATTATTGCCTAAGTGGCATTTCCTGGAACTGTTACTGAGGTCCCACATTGTGGACCAAGGCAGGACGCAGATTTCATAAGCTGTGGAACAGCCTGGCATTTTCAAGGTAGGAAGGAAGTTCCTGACGCACTAGGCAAAATTCCCATGCTAGTGGTGCTGCTGCAGCCAGTCTGATCTGAACTTGCAGGGCTATCCAGTTGAGCAGAGGACCATGGAGGGCTTGCCCCTTTCCTCTCAGAGACTGGAACCACTCTGCGCGGGAGAGAGGGTGCTGCGCTGTCTAGTAATTCGCAGAGTACGTTGTGATTCCAGCCGGTGAGTGCTGTGGGGCCTGAGGGAGCAGGGCAGCCAGCTGACACTTGCAAGCGACAACTTTCATTGCACAGGTACCATCGCTGGTGGGTCTTGAGCAGTCCGTAGGGTTGGAAGCGATGTTTAGCAATAGAGAACTGCTCTTAAACAGAGGTGTCACAAGGAATGCCACATCAATAACAGTTTCCATATAAGTAGCAATGAATCTTGTACTCCAAATAAGCAAACTTATTTAGTAAAATGGAAAAAATAATAGCTGACAAGGTCTCAGTGAGTGTTGAGAAAGCATTTTGGTATCCCCGAATAGAACATGCAGTATAGAGGTAGGCAAACACACTGATTGTCATGAGGGGCATTGTTTGTGCTTTTGAGGCAAGATGCAACCTTTGGCTGATAATTAAAACCTTTTTTTATTAGTGGTATTATGTCACCAGAGTCTGTGCAGGCTGTGCCTTGCTCCCATCAGTCCTACACCCTAATTTTTTTCTGTTATGGCTGAAGAAGTTCTTGCTCACAATTTCATGACACTACACGTAATTAAGCTTTATTTTACCTGAATTAGGGCTCCACTGTCTTCATTCAGTTTGTCATCATGTTTGAACTCCACTGTCACTGCCTTGTCACAGTCAACTGCTGCCATCTCTACATCTGTGGTGTTGTTCATGTAAATAGCACCAAAGAAGTCAGTAGCCCTGAAGCCTGCAGCCAAATTAAAACAAACATATCCTTTTATTTAAAAATGGCAAATAAAATTGACACTTTTGACTTTTTATGGTCAGTCAATTTTGCTTACTGAAACGAATCATTTTCCCTCGAGGATTTGCAGCCTCAGGCTGCTACCAACTGTCGTTGCTGATAGCATTTTTTGACAGCTGGGTGAGAGGGAAAAGCTGATGGACAAGCCACGAAGCTGCGCTGTGACTGAGACCACCCAGAACCTTTTGCACTGTTGATTTGGCCACTTTGTGTGTGTTTGTTTCTCAAATGCTTGCATTTGAGGTAAGAATGAATGCGTGAAAAGTAGACATAGTAATGTAATTTGAAGTGTGAAAATGAAGGAACATGTAAGTGTCCAGCAGCAACACTTTTTTATACAACTTGCTTGCAATCCAAGATGCATGCATAATGATCAGAAGCCTTACTTGTATTTGAAAAGTAATTATTATGGAGTCATATACAGGAAGGACATATTCATGCATTTTATCAGCCTATCCAATTACTTTTCAAGAGGTACATAATGAAGTTAAAACAGTTAGCCTGATCTTACACATGACCTCTACAGCACTATATTAAGTTATATATTGTCGTATTTATTCCTGTTTTATTTTCGTTCCCAACGGGCACCTTTACCTGTACTCGTCCGAACCCTCATTATTGCATCAAATCCGGTCTTTTTTTCTATGTCCTTCCTGAGGTCACTTAAGAACTGGGGACTGTCAGCATTGAGCTAGAAACGCAAAGCAAAAGCAAAAGTTGCAGTTCACCACCCGGTGGCAGCAACATAGCAGAAACCCAACCCTCTCCCTCCCCCTGTGATCCCCCCGACATCGAATCTGTTCTTTTCACATTTAACATCTCTCGTTCCCTTCAAAAAGAGAAGCAATGTTGATTGTTGTTTTGTTAACAGAAACATATGAAGGCAAGTGTCCACCAATTCATCACTAGGCTTGGACATCCAGAATTTCTATTCAATCAAATTATCTCCAGTAACATCCATTCCTGCACTTAACCTTGCAGCCTAGCTTGGATTTTACGGCACAGCCTTAAGAATTGCAGAGTAGCCTTGCGGACTTTGCAAAAAACGCTTTTTTGCAGGACAGCTCCTGATACAGAGGAAGTCCCTCACTCCCCAGAGAGATTCTCATGAAATTTTAAACAAGTGTTACAGCTTTGGGGGGGTGTGTCTGGGGGGGTATGTCTTTATCGTAAGCATTTTTATCTTTATATACAGGAGTAATTGACTTCCTTGCTCAGGTGCCAGCGTATTTAAGTAAGTGGATGGAATTTTAAGATACCAACCAGCTTATTACTGTTTTGAGATATATATTTGAGCCTGATCTGTCATTTCTAAGTTTGAATTTTATCCCCTGGAGTTTATAAGTAAGTTTTCTAGAGTCGCTCCACTTTTATGTTAAATGTCAAAGCACACATTGAAATGAAAAGGAAAAAACAACAAATCCTCAGGTGTTACTATCTGAAAGGCAGGAAACACACATCACTTACCTGGAAATTGTTGTACTTGTACAATGTTCCTCCAGTGTACATTGTGATGAGACCCATAGAGGCTACGTCCACATACTGATTTGGGAAGAGGAACAAATTCACGCAGCAGCCATTAGCCACACAGTCCCTGGCTAAGGCCTCGTAAGAATTTGCCTGGGGCTGGAAAAGCGTCTGCACAGAATTAAATAATACAAGTGTCATAACATTAGATACTGTTGGTAGCCAACCACAATCCAAACCCCCACTTGAAGAAAAAAAGATGAAGTGGAAGTTTAAAGCGAGGCATGGATTCGATTAAAAATGTGTTGCCCCTGCCCATACACTTGTATGCAGGGAACCAACTCGGTTCTTAGACAACTAAATCACTAAGAGGCAGGTAATAAAGGCTCTTGATGGGTGGAATGACTTGCTGCTGAGGGGGGTTCCTTTATGGATAAAAATGGTTGCTTTATGGTAGTTTTGACTTCAGTGTTCCTGTAGAGGCAGCATCAATGTATCTACATAATGTAATCAAGGCACAGTGAGAATGGGAATATTATATAATTAAACAAGACATCCTTGCAAAAGAAAATAAATGAAAAAAGGTCAAGCCTCTATTAGAGAAATTCAGCATAATAGCAGTCCCTTGTTAACTCAGAGTAGAAAATACCTTTTCTTTATCTGTATTGAGTAGTTTTTTGTCATCTCTGTTTCTCAGCTTCCCTGGTGCTTCCGCAGTTGGCAATGATGAATGGAAAATAAACAGTTTTCCAGCACATTCTGCAGCCTGTTTCAAAGACACCATATTGGCATATTTATTACTGCTAAGATAAACAAGTCTAATTTTCATACATTGTGGTATCTCGAGAGAACAGTGTAAACTTTCTGCAAGTTCCTCAGAGCTAAATAATTCATCTAAAGACTCAAAATTTGATGGAAATAAGTCCTGAAACAAACTGGGAATTTTACGTCAGCAAACAACTTGGTCTAACGCACAGATACATTGGTTGATGCGTTGTTACAGTGATTTTTCTATATAGGAATCTAAAATCTTGCATGGGCAAAACGAGGAGTACCTCTCTTGGAGACTTTCTAATTGGATACAAGCATTATGCAACAAGTATCAAAAGTACAAATACTAAATTGGATAAAATTAAAAGGAAATGTAATTGAACAGAAAAAATATTTCTTTCAGTTCAGGCACAATAGTGTTCACTACATTTTTATAGACAAGCAAGGATTATATTCCTGTACTAGATTCCATGTTCAAATCTATACTAAAGTGCAGGAGTATCAAAATTTGTAATGAACATTTCCTCCTCTCACTAAGACGTGAAGTAACTGCCAGTTGTTATTCAAGTCTTCTATTCTTACTTAGAACTCCAGTGAGAACATGATATTTACTGAGATGACAAAGTACTGACAGAAGACCCTGAATTCCAAAGAAGAAAGTAACAACAGTAGCAAGTACCACAGGCATCTTTGTACTATTAACAAGCTTTTCCACCAAAATTTAGAAAATCCAGTTTATCGCTTACTCTTGAGACAGGTAATGGGAATGATCAGAACAGAGTATTCCAGTTGGAAGGGACCTACTACAAGGATCATCTAGTCCAGCTGCCTGACCACTTCAGGGCTGACCAAAAATTAAAGCAAAGAGAAGTGAAAACTGATTAGAAATTCTGAGGTCTTCCAAGTATTGAAGAAGTTGGGTGAACGGAAGGAAGGAGGAAAGAGGGATTTGTCCTTTTCTTGCTCCAGACTTAACCGCACATCCAGGTTAAAACTGCAATACCTAAGACTACAGACACAAATCAGCTTTGGTACTCTTTCTCCTCCAGATCTTAAGATGTTCACAAGATAAAGATATTCCACATTTCAAAATAAGCTATGACATTCTTCTGGAAAAACTACAAAATCTCTTTGCTATGGCAGAAATACAATTGAAGGCAGCATCTTATAACAGAGCTGAAATTTTACCCCTAATACCTTTAATCACGAATGCCAATTTCTTCAATTCCTTTCAAGAAGCATTCTGCTGAAGACTGAAAGACTTATCAAATACCTATTTGTCATTATACGCATTGGGAATTACTGACATGGCTTTTGACAAATTTTCTAAAATGTATTTATATTATTTCTAAAAGTGTATTAAAATTAATCTCAAATAGGAACACAATCCATTTTATTCTTTTTAGACAAGAATTGTTTTCTTGAGCGCAGGTATATGCATATTAATAATTTACAGTGAAAAGCCTTACAAATTGTAACTTTAAAATAATGAGCTAAATGAAAAGCTTAATTAAGAGCTGCTTTCTTTTATAGCCAACATCAAAGGAAATTTACAATTATGGCCCTTAAGTTTGTTTCGTAGAAGTCAAGTATTGGCGAAGAGCATTCCAACGGAAGTGGTAACCAAACGTCTGTTTTGCACACATACCTTCTGGCAGTATGAATAAATAACAAGAAAACAGGTATTAATTAAATATTTGATAAACAGATTTGAGAAATGTTGTGTATTTTCAGTTCAACAAATTTATCTACTCAAAGTTCATGCTTTCCTATACACAGCTCGCAGATAAATCAACTATTTTAACACCACTGCCTGTTTCCTGCCCCTACAAATCTTGTGGTGAACCATGGTGGCATTCTTTTAATTGGCAGCGCTCCCTGGAAATGTCAGCACTTCAGGGGATGTCCTAGAAATGCAGAAAGCAACTGGGGATGCATCTTGACCTGTGGATTCATTTTCAGCTGTATTCAAGTTGTGAGAACTTGTCAGTTAAGCAGAAACCCTCCAACCCCCTACCCGATTGAGTCATAAATAGTCACAAAGATCTCGTTTTGCACAAGAAGACAGCAGAAGCAGACTAGGCAGGGCAAAATCGTATCTTACACTGACTCTTCTCCTGCCCTTCACACGTGCAAGGACTGGGTATCTGTACAAACATCCAGAGTATCTATCAGTTCTGCTGCAGTAACTAAACACTTTTTTATTTCTCTCAAATACTGAACAAGAAACTGACTCCTGCTCCTCATCTTCTCCTAAACATCCATTCTATGTGGAATAGACTCTAGAGACTGGTTTCCCTCAATAAGCAAAATTGGGAAGCAGATGTTATGCCTGTCAGTGTTCTCATTTTGACTAAAGCAGTTCAAATGTACTGTTAGAATAACGGAACATTAGTGCTGGAAACAATCATCGACTTTTTTTTCTATTTTACCATTGTGATTTGTAGGAGGACTTGGGACTGGCTTCTAGCAAACAGAATTTCTGCAGCTTATCAAGTCTTATTTAAGAGCTGTTTCTCTTACAGAGAGGAACATTCTAACCTTTAGCGCCTCCATGCCAGCCTGGATAACAGGAGCGAAGATGGTCTCACTCTCGTTAGTGTCTGCAAACATCTCTGGAATCTGGTCCAACAAGCTACGAAACACAAAAGGATCAGTGTCTCAACTGGTTAGCATATTTGGGATAATCCCCAAACATACCTTTTAACATACCAAGCCTTCACACAGAAGGCTGTTTTCCATGCAAATTTGTATTAAAAAAATATGAATTTTGATCACTCAATTTTTTAGGATTCCAGCCAGAATAAAAACAAAGTATAAATTTTTAAATTCTATGAGATGCACTATTTCAAAGCTGGTAACATAAAGGAACATGCAATAAATAAAAAATAGCTAAAAATTAAGGAGTCCTAGTGTGCTGTAAGGACTTACGAGTCCTTAGATCATATCCAGGTGTGCATCGTATACATCGCAAGAGGAAAAACATGCAACATGGCACATAGCCACAACACCCCTCCCATTTTTGAAGCAGCACAGCTGAAGATGCATGCTTTACACCTGGCCCAAATATGCTTTCAAATTCAGCACTGGGGGGTTGTTGATATCACTTTTTCTTTGCCTCAGAGGTGGAAATACATGACTTGAAGCATCTCCTGACTTCTAAAGTATCACAGTAAACACATGTACCCCCCAAAACCCAATAACACAATTGACTAAAAGGCATAATGCATATCATAAGCATTCAGATCTTATTCACATATGGAATAATTATACTTTACTTGGTAACAACAGATCGTGATTCCTGAAAGTTAACAAGGAAGCCATCCAGCAAAGGAACAAAAACTTCTCCAACATCTGAGACCACCATCATCTGAGGCTGAGCTAAGCTGCTTTTTACATTAAAAAAGTGGAGGACCTTGTTATAAGTGACAAAACCAACTCGAATTGCTGAGGATTCTTCTTGCTCTTCTCTGTAAGAAAAGCAAAAACAACTGGTTATAATTCTGAAATTCCGACCCTGCAATAAAAGCATCCCTCTGAAATGCAAGGCTGCTTTCAGATCATTATCTGTACTGGGAGCAACAAAGCAAACAACAACCAAGCAGATATAATGGCCTCAATCTTTGCCTTAGGTCAAATTAAAACACTCCGATAAAACCAACTGGTGTATTATTTACTTCTTTAAAAAAATATATATTTACATCAACCCTATCAACTGTGCATCCCATCCAAGCAGTCAAAACTCCTTAAGACAAAGAACAAACCATGCTGTCCTCAAACATGGAAAAGAGAGAACAGAACAATTAGTTACAAGATATAATCAGAAAATCAGTTTTATTTAGAACACATTGTAATGCAGTGACGCTAATGATTGGTGCCTAGTAAGAATAGTAACTAGGCTTGAATAATGTCTGGTGACTTTGGTGGGTCAATCTTCTGCTGCAGCAGGACTACTTTTAAGCAGCAAAAGCTGTTAAATCCTCCATAGCTATGTATCACACAGAAAACATACTGTAGGAATTACTCATTATTACTGCTAGTACATTCCCAGGCCAACCAAAGCTAGCAAACTGCTGCTGTGAGCTACACCTGCAGGAACACCACAGGCAGCAGGCTCAGTCTCTGTTTTTGTGGTGGTAACTAACTCTTCTAAGCAGTAGCCCACTCTGCCATTAGCAGCAGCATTAACAGTACTAGTTAGACCCTTACCAGGTTTGCAGTCCTAAGTTTAGTGAGCTTTTCCCTAAAAGGCAATCCTATTCAAAAAATTGGTCTTAATTACTACTAAAATAGCACCTTCCTGTAGCAGGGCGTTCTCTCGCAAATGACAAACCAAGCCTTTAGCATGAAAAATGCCAGATAGGAAGCCTGTGGTACTTGCAGTTACTACAGGTCAGCCCATGTGTTATGTATGGCAACATTAAACACTTAAGCAGCCTACTTATGGTGAGATGTCACAAAACCAGCAAATACCAAGTCTAATGCTTTTGCATGCAAAATATTCATATTCAAAGTACTGAAACTTGGAAATCCTCATTCAATTCCCAGCTATGCCACTGATTTAATGTACAACCTGAGAGGAAATTATTTCTCTATGCCTCAGTTTTCATTTGTAAAAGGGGAACAGCAAGAATTATTGTTTAATCTCACTAGGATGTAGAAATATGTACCACAAAGTTCTTTGAGACTGCAGCAATAGGAACCACAGAAATGGCCAAGCTGATTTTATTTTCTTTAGTTTATAAAAGAAGTCACTCACGGAAGACTATGACTGTAAAAAATTTAACACAAAAAAATATGCTACTCCACAAACAGGATACCATAATGTACACAGACTCATACAGATGGTACTATCACACCAAAAGCATTTAACAGAGCCTTACCTTAGTATTTCCAATTTCTAGGCACTTAGGGAAAAAAAATCTATTTATCCCTCACTCTAACCTCTGAAGAAACAACAGAATGTTAACAGTCACCCTGAGCCTTCACCACAGTAAAGCAGCCAGGGTCTGAAAATATTTATCCCCCTAAGGGAGTGTAAAGCCTTGGCCCCACCAAAATCAATGGCAAGGCCTCCATCCCATTCCACTGCAACCAACAGATTGCATTTCATGATTTCACAAACGCTTGCAGAATCGAAAGTCAAACTAAAGAGGAGAAACAACACAAACACACTTCTACTGCAATTCTTGTTCTTCTTATTGCAAATAGAAAAAACTGTCAGGCTTCTTCCTGGCTATCAAATCTGTTTGTCCTCAGAGAAAAAAAAAACCAAAAAAACCCAAAAATGTCATCAGCAGTTTCACAAGCTTCATCTAAAACCTTGAGCTTGGGAGACAAATCATTTTTCTCATCTACAAACTTTAACTCTCACGTCAGTCTAGAATGTTAATCTACCATTCGTGTTTTATGGGAACACAGCTGGATGGGAAAGTGGCTACTTTGATCTAAAACAAATCAATATTCTATATTGAACACACTCCACAGAGAAGCATTTTCAATAATTCCTCCAAGATACATTAACTCAAACAGATGCATCATTTCTGAATGTAAATTTCTAATCATTCCCAGCACTCGGACACTATTTTCTTAGTAACATGATTAACAGGGAGCATTCAAGAGCTTGATGAGGACAAGGTATTATTAACTTTCTGCACATATAGCACTTTCCCACTTCAAAGAGAAGTATCCACATCATCCTAGTAGTCCCAAAGTTGTTACACAGCAGGTATTTGGTACAATTTTTTCAGATACTGCTCTTGCCTGTGGCAGTCCGTACTGCCACACTTCATCCAATTTCTTCTATCGTAGTTTTAAAAGATTAGCTGTAAATGTAGCAGTCGATTGCCTATGTACCTCACACTCTATTTAGTTCTTTTTAAAGTCTCAGAATGAGACGTCTGGATCATATGTACAGAAATGCATTCAAATGTTTTGGGGCTTTTGGTGGTGGTTTTTTTTGTTTGTTTGTTTGTTTTAATTATGCACCTAAAAATCATATCTGCACAACCAGTTAGCCTGATTTTCTGAGCTCATAAGCACAATTTCTATAAACCCATTTCATCTAAATACAGCCAGAGGTTTCTGGTTTGGAACACATTAAGTTTGAAAATGTCTGCTCTAAAATTTCAAGCAAGCAAATGTGGTTTCTGCTGTGTTGCAAGTCTACAAAAAGACAAAGTTCTTAACACCAAGTCTTGAGCCACCTACCTTAATCCTTTCTTTGCTGCCTCTAACTTCTCACTTCGCAGCCATTTTCACAGGCTTACCTGGCACAGGCCTTTACACCAATGGCCTTTTTGTAACACAGATTGCTTTGCTACCCCAAGTCTGTCTTCTTAAAGATATGAGCATAGGGTAGATTTCCAGCACAGGGCTTTCACCTCATGTGGTAACAGCAGAATATTTTTGCAGGTGTCTTTGTCCAGTAACAGAAAATGAACAAGCAGTGACCTTTGTCTCAGCACCAAAACGGCAGTTTCACCACAAATTTTGGTGGAATGCCTTCTGTTTTTTTTTTTTTTAATTAGTATTGTTTAAAGACAACAGACAACAGAGTCTGAAGAAACTGAAGGGCTTACCCTTTCTTTATTTTTTTTATTGCTTTTTTCAGTGGACAAGAAAACTTTGGCCCTACAAACAAATTATATAGCAGCAGATCTCTGCAGAGTGCTGGTGAGGAAAATAATTAATGTGCCTTTTTTATGATGTAGATACCCACGCTTTCATTTTTCATCAACTTCCCCTATTCAAGCCTAAGTGTTTCTAAACTGCCAACTGCTTTTTGTTACTACACTTATGCCTTTTATTATCTTCAGAGTCATGATCAATCCTGACAGAAAGCTCTGAGATATGTTCAGGATAATATCAAACACTTGTGTCTCCAGTATAATCTTCAATGACAAAGTACTTGAGAGATGGCCTTACATGGGCATCTGACAAACTAACCCCCCACCCTGGACTGGAATTTCTTTCATGCACAGAGATCCCAGAAGGACATACGATAAAAGATTTTTAACATATCCCAGGTTATCGCAAGGATCTCGTCTCCCACCCTTCCTCACTTTGCTCTTTCCATTTCTTAAGTCTGTACTCCCTCTGCAAGTATTGTTATTCAGAATGCATTTTCCTTCTGTATGTTTTTCAATGCTTTTATATGCCTTTGCTGAGAAACATCTCGTTTACTTAATTTCTCAGTGTTTCACTGCTCTCATTTAATTATGTGTGTCTGCATTATTTAAACTTTAATGAAAACTATATTAATATACTATACTAAAAACTATACTAAACTACACTAAAATAATATACTGTCATTAATATTGATCGGCAGCAACACTACTACTGTGTGTTTAATGCTCACAAAGCAAATGTGCTGTATTTCATAAAATGGCTGTTGCCTACAAAATTTGTTCCCCTCTCAGATACATACCAGGACAGAAAAGTCTCTCAGCACAGCAAGAAGCTTTAAAAGTTTTGCTAATTAACAATAAGAGCTAAAGATACAAGCCACCAACACTATGGCTTTAGAGAGACTTGCCATTCTTGAATATTCTGTTTTTGATATTTCCCTGTTTAATTTAATGAGAAAAGCAGCATTGCGATAAACAGAACTACAGCAAGTAAAGTCAGAACTACAAGCTGGGACTTAGCTGATAATACCACTAGAGTTCACTACAAGAAAGGGAAAGAATGCAAGCTACATGAGCAACTAGTATGACAGATTTTTTCCATTCATATAGTAAGCCCAGACATCAAAGTTTAAGAACTACCAGCAGTGTTAAAATTAACATTTGGTCACTATCACCCCGAAATGCCTGTACTGTAAATTCTGACATTTTCTGTAGCTTGTTTTTACCTCTCAACATGCAAAGCTACATGAAAACTGCAGTGTATTGAGTTAAGCAAAGCACACGTTTCTTTACCTTGGAAGTTTATCTAGCAGAGTCTTCAGTTCATCACATATGAGTTTAACTAGGCCACTGTTTATGTTTCTGTACGATACATCAATCATGAAGATATAAGCTGGTGGCTTTGGAGGCTTGTTGTTCTACAGAAAAAAATGACCGTTCACAGGGAAAATTAGACAGTGTCCTGTTATGTCGAAAAAAATTTACAGGTGGTACCATAAGGCAATCTAAATACAGCATTCAGTTGTTTGAAAAATGCTGTGAATTATAAATGATAACTACTGCAGAAAGCTGACAAGTATTGGGTCAAGTCCACCCCTGGAATAAAATATTATTACTGGAAAATAGCATCCTAATGGAATAAAATATGCGAAGGCTTAACAGTTTATTAGATAAGATGAAACACAAACATTTTCTGCTCAAATTCAAGTGTTTACACAAATTTGCCTTTTTTCTGTACCCATACTGTTTTTTCATTCCCTATATCAATACGCAATACCATTTTGGTAATGTGAACACTTAAATTCAGGTTTTGTTAGCATTTGTGTCTAACAACTGTTAAGTGATTTCTAACCAATCTGAAAAGAGAAAATAAAACTTAGGTACTGAACTAGAATTAAAATATCTCAGTTCTTAGCAGTACCAAGTCATGATCATCTGCATCCTGCCTTTCTTGCTGTCTCATGCTCTAACGCATTCTGGACAACTGAACTGTTCTTTCAGGAATAAGCTGACTTTCTGCAAGATAATCAAAGCATGAGACTGGAACATTCAATGTATGCAACTGCTGCATACACAGCAGTGACTTGGGCTGGTATGGATTCCTTTGAGAATTCCTCTTACTCGTAATGTAAGTGGCATACAAATTGTGACATACACTACCGACACAAGTTTCTGTAAGTAAGAAAAAGTAAGATGAAGGGGTTTTGTTTCCAAATAAAGCAATGTAATGCTGAGAGAGGTACCCAGGAAGAAGGTCATATAAAGTCAACATAGCAATGGTAATCATCATACTCCCTAAGATCAGTTTTCCTAATTCCCATTAAGACAAGTAGTGGACACGTGGTGTCAAATTCAAGACAGCTTTTCCATTATACTTTTTCACTTCCTTCATATAGAGTTCTGACGACTTAACCAAATTATACTTGTTAAACTAAACCTCAGAAAACTCCATTTAAGAAAAAAATCATCTAACCCTTGAATTATGACTTATCCATAGTCCTGGCACACTTTAAACTTAACATTATACCCTTGATCTCACTTTATTTGACTCATATAAAACAAGATTAATTCCTGTGAACTAAAACTAGCCAGTATTTTTAAAAGCTGCTCTGTTTACTGTATTTGGATTCTAGTTTCAAAAACGGTATCAAACACTACTTCTAAACTCTTGTATCGCATCACCATTTATAAAGAATCCCTGCATAATTTCTGACAAATATATGGTAGAAATGAGGGCTTGTGCTCTTGCCACATCCGCTTAGCATGAGCGCCATAATGCAAAACAGCTGTTATTTGTTAACATTTTTTGTAGCTGTTCATCTTTGTCATTTGATAAGCACAAAGGGAAATGACTTTTCACTTCTGTCTTAAACTGAATTTATAAAAGAATTAAACCTTTGCAACTTGGAGCAAAATGAAAAATAAATTATAAAATAATGTTAACTTCCGTAAAATTTAATGACTCAGCATTTCCAGCATGAGTGTTAAATTTGTAAGAGATTTCTTTTTTGTAACATTCTAGAAGTCTACGGACAGGTCTTTGCAACAAGAATACAGACCATACTCAATGACTTCTCAAGGAAACTCCCTGATTTAAGCTATATGGCAAAAGCCATTGCACTGAAAGATGCAATGTGATGACGACTGCATCACACACGGTTACATTCTGGAGTAGAGAAAAAGAACCATGAAAATAGCACAAAGCCATTCAGTACACATGAGTTTTCAAATGTTTAGCTGCCAGAAATCAGCAAAGCTTAACCAAATTTGATGGAGCTACACAGGATGTACACTGAGGATCCTGCACTGTATTTCTGTAATGCCTCACTACAACTCTCTCCTGTTCCAGGGTTTAACCCAGATTTCAATAACATCTATATAGGTCGTCTCAGGGATTTCACTGGATTTTGGAGCAGTACCCTAGCAAGAAAGCAGAATTAAAACTGTTCATTTTCTTCATACCAGCAATAATTTCATGGTCTGAGGAAGTTACTGGTACCTACTTCAAAACTTTGTAGGATCCAGTTGCCTTGCCTAACCTTATCATGACCTTAATTCCACTGACAGGAAGAACATTCTGCCTGTTTTTCAGCAAGAACAGAAAAATATGTCCATACTGTGGACAGAGGAAGTCACACTTGCGGTTTTGTAAAATGAGCTAAAGTTTGAAAAGTTTAAGTAATTTATGCTTTTGGAAATATCAAATACAGTTCTCTAATAAAATCAACTACAAATATTTACAGTGACTTGAGTGGGCTTTGGATTGAATTCTGCAGTGAGTTAATATTAGGAGAGAGAACCCATTCCATTGTAACTTATTTACTGGTCAGAACACTGAAACTACTCTTGCCAGGGAAGGATTACAAGGTCGAATTCCCTTGCTAAGGTTTTCAATATTGGGAAGGCAATTTAGGCATGTGTCTGTCTTCAAAAACCAATAGAAGACATGCATCTGAAATGCAACACTGCATCAGAATTTCAACTGTCTCCTCTAAACAGGGCAACATAGTAGCTAGGACCAAAAAAACCGCCCCAGTTGAAGACTGGTGATCCATAACTTTGCTGCACTGTTTGTTATTCTTACTCGCTAGTCTCATACTCTGCAGCACAAAAGAACAAAACATAATATTGTAAGCTTAAATTCTCCGCATCTATCTATGTTTTCCAGAATGTTCCTGGAATCTGATACTCAGCTTACAAGTGTATTTACTCTACTGTAGCTATTTAAAGGATTTTGTTTGTTTTGACATAAAATTGTAAATTAGTTTGCATACTGGAAATACTCACTCGGCAATAATCCAAAGTAGCAACATATTCATAAGATCCCAGAGATAGCTCAGGCCTTTCATAGTGGTCTACCCGTCGGCCAATGTGGTCCAGATGTTGAAAGAAGAATGGAGGGACTAAAAGCCAACACAAGAACAGGAAAAAGAAGTTTATATTTTGGGAAGGAGGGGAACAACCCAACAATTTCTTTCAACAGATACAATGTACTAATGTAGGTTCCTGTGTTACTATCAAGGGAAGAGTTTAAACACTTAACCCAGGTTGCAATGAACCCAATTCTTCCCCACCTAGGCTTAAAAAAAACCAACCAAACAAAACCCCACAACATTCTAGTAATGCCAGCTCCTTTTGCATTTGGAAGACAGGGCATATTCCCCTATAAATGTCCATATTCTCCCACCTCTACATTGTCAGGGTTGAGTAGGTAAAACTGACCCAGGTCATTTCCACAGGCAGGAGCCTGTTACCCTCAGGATACAGACTTAACAGTGACTATTTTGGCAGTAGATACAGTCTACTCATAGCTTAATTCAAATCACCGGAGGCAGAGTTCTGCAGAGGGACAGCAGTAAAAACAGCACTTTTCCTAAAGTGTGTACTGCTTTATTGAAAAATACCACTTCACTGGAAAGAGCTCTACAAGATTCACAACCCTGGCCTACTGTACAGCAAAGTACATTGAGTCCATTATACCGGGAACCTTCTGCAGCTACAGATAAAAGGTGCAGGACTCCAAAGCATTAAGAAATCAAGTGGGTTTGCCACCAACAATTTATATACAGCTAGTCTAATAGTTAAGAGTCACCTTGGGGAAGAGTCACCTCTGGATTTTAGCTTCTCTTTCTTCAATCAATATATATTTAGAGTTAGAATGCTTATTTTTTCACATTTTTGCCTGTAAAAAGCATATGTGTGTGTGAGTGGGGGAATATCTACCTTGTTTGTTGGCCATTTTTAGTCCTCATTAAAGTTTTTCTTTAAAGTGCTTTCTGACTTGGATAAAACACTGTAGTAATGATTTAAAGCAACACTGCAACTTAAATGTCTTTCTTAAACTCTTCACAATGCATTTAGATTTCTCTTTTTGAGAGTTTAAATTGCTAACAAACTCTGAAATTTGTTATCTGCTATGCTTGCACAAACATTTGAGCATCAAGCAGAAAAGAAGTTGGAATGAGTCTTTCAAGGTTCACGTTTCAGAGTTGAAAAGATTACTGTATTAGGGAAAGCACTATACCGCTGTGATCCAGCTGAGGAAATCCAGCTAGATACAAATGTCTAGAAAGGCTAGTTCTGGCAAAGATTTGGGATTTAGCCAAGAGCACAAGAACAGTTATGAGTCACATGCAGCACACTTGAACAAATATGGCATGGTATCTTCTGTGAAAACCAACACTTGTCACAGTAAGATTAATAAGTTATTTAACCATTGCATCCACAGTCATGGACATGGCTGTAAATATTTGGTTCTTGCTCAGCATTTAGATTTCTTAAAGAAATTAATTTTTTTCCACACAAAAGTTGCTTTCAGTTAGCAATACAAGCAGCTTTGTATCCTATGTTGACATAATATTTTTATATAACGTTTTGATGGTATCAGACTGGACTTCATGACTCAGCATTATTTTTCATGCATTTATTTTTTTAAATCATACTAAACAAATGTTTCTACGTGTTTTTCTGGGGTAGTATTTTTATTATTTGTGAAATAGGTCTAGTTACTGCATCTCACTATTTTCTCATCAAGTCAGCAAGTCAAGAAAATCATTTTAGGGATATAGTTTCTTTTTAGTTTCATGGAATTTGTATGAATCACAGATCAGAGAAACATCACTTACCATCATTTATACAATTGCAAAATCCACACTGGTATCTTCTTCCACCTTCAATAAACTGCATGAAAGGACACATATAAGCTTTGCACCGGTTGCATCGGATTGGTCCAGTCTCACCATGGTTTACAACATAAAGAGGTGTCTAGATGAAGAGGTACATGAAGTTACAAAAAGCAATGCAAACTTGAAACCAGATAAAGTCAGCTAGAAAGCTACTGCTCAGACTTAAGTCTTGTTAGAGATCACCTGATCAAGAGGTTATTCATGGTTCAGCCTTCACCCAGAATCTGCAGTACAGTTGGCTCAACCCCATACATCCCTTGAGGGGCTAAATTTACAAGTTCACAGGCCATACTCTGACATTTATTAGAAAGAGAGTAAGGATTCACACCAAAAGCCTCGAAAGTTTTCAAAGCATTGGAAGTTTAGGGCTCCAGGCTGATTTTCTCCAGCAAAAGGTTTTTACAGCTCACTAAGAGAAATCTGCTGGAGGCAGCTATTTGTCTTCTCTGTCAGACTGAGCTTTTCCTGAAGAAATCTATTGCTGCTCAGCTATTGCAAACCATCTTTCAAACACGTATTAGCTAAGAAAGCTTCAAATATTTTATCCTAAATGCTGACCCCCCAATTCTCCCACATTACATGCTATACTAACGTTTAAATGTGTCAGGTCACCAGCTAGAGCGGATTTAGAAGAAACGCTAATATTTATTGAAAGAAAGTACATACAGCAAACAAATACAGTATCTCAAACACTTGTCAGTTTAATTACACTGCCCATGCTTGCTTATAGCCTCTGCCAAAAACCACTATGGAAGACATTTTCCAGATGCCTCTTTCAGTAATAACTGTGCAGCAATTGAAAGATTCCTGCGATTATACTTAACATTAGAGAAGTCATACATGAAACCACTATAAAAACGGAAGTTTGCTCAAATATTTGTGAAACTGTTTTGTATTCTTCTTTTTTCCTTAGTCCCTTCAATCCCAACTAAAAATCTCTCCACATAAGAATAAGAATAGAAATCCAGAGTTTGGACACATAACAGATCTCTACAAGAAGAAAAATGCTGACAGCCTTTGAATGCTAAAACATTACCACTAGTATATTCTTCTTTTTTTTTTTTTTTTTTTTAATTATTCTGTCTCTTCTTATGGCACGGACATATTTCATCTATTATACACTTTATCTTTTATTGGAGCACAAGAGCCTTTGAATACCCAGAAAATCATTCATGTCCTTCTAGCATTCACTGCTTACATCTATTTTATTGTTTCTTTATATTTTACAGAGACTATTTTACTCATTTATTTCTCCAAAGGGTTTAATGCTTTTTGCCAAGGATTTTATACATACGAGTAGATTTTTACTACATGGGTTTTAAGTGCTCCCTCCTACTCCACTGAGATATTATTTTACTTTGTGTTCTTTCTTCTACGAAAATTGAGTTTAACACAAATTAACCAATAATGTCAGCTGGCAAACTACCAGAGTCGTTTTTCAGACATGAAAGCCTTGGCTATAAAACCTGCTCATCAGCCACAATCGCTTAATAAGTTTTAATACTTCTGGGTTTTGCTCATTACTTGGCAATTTTCTGATTACCATTCTGCTGTATTAGTTTAATGAGGCCTGGATCTGGTTTGCAGTTAATATTATTATAGTGTCTGACCTGGTAGAGGGGAAAAAAAATAAGACTGAAACAACTCCTAATGCATTTATACACGTTGATTTAGTAAGTTTAAACCTTGGTTTGACACATTTAATATTATCCAAGAGTAAAGAAAAATTACCCCTAAATGATCATATTTTGAAATACCAAAAACAATCAAAAAATAAATGCCATGAAGTTCAGAGCCTAGGTGTCTACACTCTTACACATACTTACTAAATTACCTTTTTAAAGACAGCAGAAATAAAAATAATGGGGTTTTTTTTCCTTGTCTTTTCATATTTGGAGTGGAAATTTTAGTTTTCCCCTCCCTTTAGGTTTCTTTTTAAAAAATTACTTATTACAAAGTCCTTTTTAAAATGTGGGGTTAGAGCCTCAGTAGCCTAAGGGTTATGTTTGCAAAGATTTACTTACATGCACATTTACCTTTACGCATTAAATGGTTGTCTTGAAGTTACTGAAATTGTGCAGTGCATGAGGTTAAAACATGTACTCAAGTCTTAAGAAAATAATATCCACAGGCAGTGTTCTGTAAACATACACTAGGCTGCATTCATTTTGTCTTGCCCAGAGAAATAAAGGATGAAACACCAATAAAATCATACCACAGAAGCTAGCTATTTTTTCTTCCTAATAAGCTTGCAGAAACTTAAAAAAAATAAAATTAAGGGCGGAAAAAAAATCAATGAAGCAAAACCAACCAAAAATGTATGTGATAGAATTAAGGGTTTTGTCTAACCAAGAAAAATCCTGCAAAAAAGCCTTACGTGTACCTTAATTGATTTATCCATTTGGAATTTTTTTAAATTAAATGGAATTTATATTTTAGTATTTTCTTTAAATGATTTAAAACGTTACATCAATAATAAACACATCTAATAATAAAGCTATCTGTATGATAATTTCAGAATAAGCACTCAGACCAAAAGCGTCAGAAACCCACTTCTTGATGTGAACAACACAGTTGTGAAAGAAACTTTACCTCAATAAAGCTGAAATCTTCTAGGGCATTACAGCACAAGACTAGACATTCTACCCATCAAGAGAAAGTAATTTGGGTATGTAAACTGCTGTTGCATTTCCAACTGTCAAAATAACTTCTGTCAGAGTGAAATAACTTTTTAAAAATAAATAGGTAGATCTCCACAGGAATGTACAAAGATAAATAATACTGTACATGCATTAAAAAGCATAAAATAAAGTTATAAGTTTCAACTAATGAATACATGAAAAAAGGGTCATAAAAAAGACACGGTACTAAATGGGAAAGCCTTGTTTGATGTGCTCCACTTTCTGTAGATGTCACTGCATACCAGAGGATAAAGCAGAGATCTGTTTATGGTCCCATGGAAGTCAGTGGCAAACTCTCACAGGAGCAGGGGAATAAGATGAAATTTAAAAATGCCTTTTTTCAGTTTTGGTTGGTTGGTTGGTTGTTTTTTTAAACAAATGCAATACTCCTTTTTCTTTTGCCTTTCCACCTATAAAGTATCAGTGTTTTCTTTCTCTCCTCTCTTAAATCTCTACCAATAATAAGTGAATCAAGTTAGATATCTACCATAACTATTTGGACATTTGATATACTTGTAGACTTGTTATGGCCTTACACTTCTCTTTCCCCTCATCTCTTCACAAACCTTTGTCCAGTTTGCCTATCTGGACCACCTAATCAAGAATGGAGATGGACCTTACAAAAAAGAACACCTAGGTACTGGTTTTTGGCGTTCCAGCACTATCAAAACATAAATATTTCGCAAAACCAATGACGAAACTAACACTTGGTATCCTAAATCTGAACAGGACACATAAGAGGGATTCCTTTAATGTAAGCCGAAAGAGTAGACAGGCAGAAAGAATCAGTTGTGCTGGGAGGCAGAACATTATAGTTTTAGGTTAAAGCAAAGGAGAATTGGGCAGAAGATATGGGAAATGCTGTAAGACACCTGCATAAACTTTCCCTTCTCTGGAACCTCAGGGTCCCACTGGAGTGCAAGTCCTTAAAGCCGATCTGATAAACCATAACTTATCCCACTATTAGTCCAAATATAGCTGTGATAGCAAGAGTTTTATTTTGGAAATATTTCAGCAAGAACATCTCTCAGGAGTCAGAACAGTATCACAAAGCAATAGATAGACATTGGTGGCACAGCTCCAAGATGAAATACATCCATAAAGATTTCCAAAGGGACTGTAACCTGCACTTTAAAGTCTGAGAAAGCTAAATTACTATTGCTTGCTATAAAAATGAAGTCCTGACACACTCCTGAGGGTTCCCTGTGATGCCTGCAAAGTATCACTGTATTCATATTGCAGGATGAGGGCCACAGCTGGAAATTATAAGTGTAGGAGTAAGAACTGTGATGAAGCTCAAGATTGTCATGGCACATCTCTGGAAAGGTGTTCTAAAGAGAAAAATCATAGGAGAGAGAGTCTCCGGAGAACAAGAGAGCCATACACAAACACTGAAAAAGCCCAGCCATTTATCACACAACAAAGTAAAATATATACAGGATCTGTTTTCATTGCCAGACTGGCATACGGACTGGGCTGCATGAAAACATTTCGTAGCTGTGCTGCAAGACAAATCTCCATGTGATGGACACCGCGCCTTGTCTTTGCCTTTCCCTACCTACCACAGCCAAAGCAGATTCCTATCTATTGCTTGACATAGACCCTATCAGCACAGTGACAAGTCTACATTAGGAGCTACATTTTTGCCCCAAGTTTGACTCCACCATCGTTTAGGTGCATTTAACACCCCAGCACTGAAACAACAGGAATGCTATCGTATTGAAAAGAGGCCCACACAGCTTGCAAAGTCTGGCTACATCCAAGAGGAATTCTTTCCACGAGTGTGGTTTTCAGTTAGATCAGCGTCTCTATCACACCCTTACTCATCCCCACAAGAAGAGGAACTTGCCACCAGTTCTTCTATATACTTCTGAAGAACATTACCACTGGAAGACATGGAGGGTCACTCTACATAACGTAATATTCTATACTACACCTGACAAGTTGCTGTTTCAACTGCAAATTACCTCAGGGGTAAACAATTCTGAAAGCATGCCCATGAAAGCCCCAGATTTAGGGGATCTAAGATTTCAGGACATGTTTAGATGAGGGCTATTTGTTTCAAAAGGAAGAGTATCTCACAGATTTGGAGAGCTGCACAGATACGTAACTCCTGATGACTTTCAATAGGACAGTTCCTTAAAATTATACTCCATGATCAGCAGTCCTACAGCAGATAAAATATTTTATACTTCTGATGCACAGCAAACACTAAACATTGTATTTGCATGGCTGATTAACAGAAAAAAGAGAGACACAAAACTGCCAACTGTTCAATCCAGACAGTTCATTAAACAGACAAGCTGTGCAGTTTTAAAGGGCAACAAATTCAAAAAGGCAGTGTTTCTAGAATTATTATTTACACTCACATTGATGCAAGTCTAATTATTAAAATATT